CTTACGTCACGCTTTAGGCTATATGTTTTCACGACATTAAACTTAGGGGGTAAATATTTAGGATAAAAACCCTGACGTGGGAAAGAGTCCATAAGTTGCTGCCAACATCATGTCATTTTGACATTTGCAATTGATAATCTGACAAATGTAAGCAATAAAAATTTTTTTTTATAATTTCATGCGGACGAAGCCGCACGGGAACAGTTAGTGTCTGATAATAAACAGACGGAAGGATAGACAAAACATTTCCGTGAATACACGAGGTAAATTCGTGGAGTGTATTACCTATCATAATCCAATTAAAATAAATCGATATTACAGTCAGGATAAACGATATTTTGACATTTTTAAATAAATTAAAGTACTAAATTATTTAAAATTTCCTGACATAATATGAATTAATTTTTTAATTAATCAGATATTGAAAAATCGTAGAATGTAAAGATTTTATTTCTTACTAATCTATACTTCTATACTATTATAATAAAGCGTAAACACACACTTCTTTGTTGCCAAAGATGTCAGCAATTACACCATATTTTTGAATATCTCTTTTTTTAATAAAAAGCCCTACACTCACGTCACGCTTTAGATTATATATTTTCCCGACATTAAACTTAGGGCGGAAATATTTTGGATAAAAACCCTAATGTGGGAGAGAGACCATAAGTTACTGCCAACATCAAGGAAGCAAGATTGCCAAGGTTTGTCATGTCATGTCATTTTGACATTTGCTATTGATAATTTGACAAATGTAAATAATAATATAGTTTTCATAATTTCATGCGGATGAAGCCGCATGGGAACAGCTAGTTATTAATATATGGCTCAAAACTCTTAAACTGGTATATTACCTACTTTTTGTGAGGATAAATTCAGTAAAATAAAATAGGTATCTTTTCATGCCAATGTTTTAATACCAAATAAAGAAGAATCTTCACGCTATAAAAATACTAACAAGCTGTGTTTTCGCGACTTCGTTCCGTGACAAAATAAAATAATTAAAAGTATAGCCTATGCTACTCATTGGTACCGTAGCTTTTTATTAGTGAAGGGATTTTTAAAATCAGTATAGTTTTTGAGTTATTTCAAAACATGCAAAAATACAAATCTTTCCTCTTTGTAATATTAGTATAGATTTAACGTAAAAAAATAATTGGTAGATTTAAAATGTTTTTTATGTTAAATATTAATTCTTTAAGCTTTTATGGATAACTCACCATCCAATATCCCAAGCGGAGTGGAAGGCGGGATGCGCGGACATGGAGCCAAGGGGCATTCCGAAACCAAACTCGATGTTGACATCATCAGCTCGCCGCCAGGAGCCCCTCGGCTCGCGGCCCTCCGACCCGCCGCCCGCGTCGTTTGTCATTATAACATAAACCCAATGGCGTTCTCACAAACTAAACAATGATCCTATCGACCGAAATTACACTTGTATTTAAATATATACTTGTCTTTATTTTATCGAAATAATAATAAGAGATGACGATATCCCATATATACGAGTTGACAATCGAAAACCAAGCACAATATACAGTCGAAATAGACTTTAATAGAGTACACAGACTTGATAGTTATTAACAATGTGGAAAAATCAATATTTCAAAGGCTTAACTGTTAGAAATATATTGTAAGTTAATATTGTAATTGGAAACGATTTTAAGTACTAATTACAATTGAATAAAACTTATTTAAACTATTCAAAGTAATAATGGAAGGGAAAGTTTAATACTAGTTTTTTTTGTATTCGAAAAGTAGTAGTAAGAATTGGCCATTATTTATTATCTAAACTATACTTTGAAACTTAATTATAATTCAATTAAAATCGAAATTAACTGTTTGTTAAACATATTTTAACATCAAGAAAACTGTAAACAGAAATAAAATAACACAGCGTCACAACGCGGATGACGTTTACGAGATGAGAAAGATGTCGTAGCACCGTCTACGAATCTACGAACCTCTACAATCCGTTGTCTCTCAAATCCGGTCACAGACTAAATACTTTACTTTGCACTAATGTAAAAAAACAGTATACACATTAAGCTTACTTTATTGTTGATTTAATTAAAAGGCTTGTAGACGAGGCCACAAATGGACAACAACTAACGCGCTCGCAACGCACACAAAGCCCGTTTACCGCACTGACCACACCACCGTAGCGAATAGGGATGTGGCGTCGCGGTACGTTATTTAATAACCGTTATTTTTAACTGCTAACAGATGAGTGAAACCAATACATCTTGATACTAGTCACTAAGATAGGAAGTCATAGTTATGTTGAAATATTACTTATATTTCTGCAACGTAATGTATTAACAACGGCGGATCCAAGGGGAGGGAGCTGGTTGGTCAAGAGCTTAACAAAATATATTTAAATTTTTTGTCAAGCTCTTGACTTTACCTCGACTATGTGATCCCACCCTCCCCCCCTCCGCTTGTGCTGCCGCCAAAGCTGGATCCGCCCTTGTGTATTAAGTATACATGAGATTCAAATTATCAACTATTTATGTTTTTTTTTTTTTTTCTAGTACAGGGCGCCCTGTAGTAATTGTTATATTAATAAACATGAAATTTCAATGTTCTCATTCGCATTGTATTTATAAAACAAGTTTTTGTATTTTCATAATTCAGTTATTTAAAACAAAAAAACGTTATAACCGTTATAACGCTACATCAACGGGTCGCGACGGCCGATGACCGGAGTGACGCCGACTCGTTTATTACCACTGCCCTAAATCTGAACACCTCAATCACTTGTACATAATTATACCGGAATTGTATACGACAAAGGTTTACCTAAAATTGTGTCAATGACTTTTACAATGTAAGGAACATCGTAAATTTATAGGTTAGCTTTCGTCCGCGACTTCGTCCACTCGGTATTAAAAAGTAACCTTAACAAAATGTGTTCTCCTATACTATCCTCTACATCTGTGCTAAATTCATCGAGATCCGTTCAGCAGTTTAACTAAAAACTCAAACAAAAATCCATCGATTCATCCATTCTTAACTTTTGCATTTATAATATTAGTAAGAAGTTATAGTTTTTATTTATTTTACGTATTATGAACCAATCGTAAAAATAAGTTGCGGGCAAACTGCTCTTTTTCTTGTGGTAACGAAGAATGCTGGATAAAAATATCATTCGACCACACTTTGTTTTTGAAGGCTTTAACGCGCATTATGTTTTATGGTTTGTTTATCTTGTGCTTAGTAAGCATTTTCATTTTAGAACATTGCCAAAAACATTTAAGTTATTATTACATCGTTATTAAAAGTTCATAGGAAAAAAGGTAATTGAATTCTAAAACCATCAATAAATGTGCAAAAAAATAAACTTTAATAAATATTAAATCTAAACTATAAAAAAATATAAAAACAACTAAATAATATTAACAAATATGACGGTTTGATAGAATAAGCGACGCCGTATTCTGAACCGGAAATCAGACCTAGAGATCTCATATTGGGTAAGTAACTCAAAAGAGACTGCAGTACAGTACGTTTGTTACCAATCACTATTGATTCTCCTTCTTTTTCTCCGTCTTCTTTATCATCCTTATCCTCTTTATCATATTCTCCAGGGATAGGAGTCTGTGTTCGCTTCTGGAACATTTTCTTAAATCTTCTGAATTCTTCACTCTGCGTTGTCTTTAGTTCTCGACGTACCTAGTACACATTACAGTTAGCAAATTGTTAACACAAACTTCAGTTGTTCCAGTTACAGAAGAGTTTTGCAAATAATTCCCATCGAATAAAATTATCTACCTGAACAATATTTACAGCACAAAATACGCTGTTACTGAATTTACCAGCCTTAGTTTTGCATTTTGTGCAAGACATTCAAATTGCTTAAAAGATGGAATAGTCGTAGCAAAGTTTGACTATACTTATAAAATCCATTTTTTAACTATTCATGCTTAGCTCTGTCCCCCCCTCTCTCGCCCTCTCTCTCTCTCTCTCTCTCTCTCTCTCACCCTCCCTTTCTTTGTTTGAAACTATTGCTTCTTACGTCATTGAATATTTTAAAATTATATCACATACCTTCGTATAGTATGTAGGCATAGGTGTTGGTGGTCGCACTAACATTGGCGTCATGTCGGTTCCCATAGGTTGGCCGGACATTGTGTGCTCCATGCGCATTATTGTCTCTTGCAGTTCGCGGGCGGTTTCAGCTACAATAAACATACTCGTAAATGATTACTTCGATGTGAATATACACTACACATATCTGTGAAGAAATTTAAAAATGTGTGTAATGTCAACCAAGCCGCACGGGGCTAGTGTGGTTGACTACAGTCGGAGGCACTAACTAAATGGAGGATCGAGGCCCTTTTTGGGGTCGTGTTTGCTGTGTTATGAATTTACGCAGGTCAATGTTTATAAGTATATTATCACTGTGGATTTTTTTTTTTGTAAATATCTTGTAAAAATCTTTCACGTTTGTTGTATTCACTTACGGTCTGATAAATATTCTTTAATTAAATCGTCGTTGATTTCTGAACTTTTGCTTTCAATGCTACTTGACTTTGTCGACGTTTCTTGTGTTAAATTGATACTTGAATTTAATGGAGCTTCTTCTGTAGTCTTGACAGTTGAATTAACTGCTATTTCTGTGATTCTTTTCTCATCTTGTGTATTTGTTTTACTTGATGGTTCAGAATTTAATATTTCTACATCTGAAAGTTATATAATAATGTAAATCTCTTGTGATTTTATCGCCATTAGTTATGTAGTTGTAATAACACACACCTTCAATGCCATTTGTTGATAATTCTGTCTCAATTGTAGGTACTTCTTCATTTTCCTTTGTGACTTCCTCGATAAGTGACTCTTTAGTTTCTTTCGCTATGACTGGATTTATATCAACAGTATCTGCAACATATAGCATATTTTAATAGAAGTTTCATGTTTCAATATTCAAGTCATTATGCAAACTTACATTTTGTTCTCTTTAAGTCTTCTTCTTTACTTAATTCGTATAAGTAATAAGCTTTTGGTCGTCCGACAGTTCTTAACTTTCTCCTGTATTTACTATAATTGTTCATATACCTTCTAATTTTTCTTCGTTCATTCGCAATCCTTTTATTGAATGAATTAAAATCTTCGAATTTGATTCCCATTTTTCCAATAATTTCTGTGACGTTAATTGGATCACTTTCTTGCTGATCGTTATTTGACTTTTCCAACATTATCCCTGCTAATTTTGCCAGATATATTTCGTCTAAGTTTTCAACACTATCAAATGATGAATTCCTATCTAACTCCAACACTGTACTTAAAAGAACAGAATCTTCAACAGGCATTCTATAATGTTTCTTATCAAACTTCAGACTGTCATCTGAAATCGGGGCTTCGAATGTAATTTTACTAACACCAAAACTTCTCTTCTTACCGACTCAAATCGTAATACAGAAACAACGCCTTTCATTGCATTCCTCTAAATGTGTAACAAAAACTCTTAACTTGATGTAGTGATAGTGGCCGAAGAATTGTAGGCACTGGAAGAACATACATACTCGTGTCCTCCCTAAGCGTCAGTGATCACTGATCACCTAACGTTATAAGATCAGTTGGTGATTACGACGAATTACTAGCGATTGACCACGATCCCAATATATGTTAATTGGTGATGATGATGTTTAGACAAAAGACGATAGCTTCAAATGTACGTACTGACTATGCAGAGTCCTGGATTATGCGTGGCTTGCGTGGTCCGTGGCGGACACAGACTAGCAGGGCGCGCCACCTGCCACAGCGGTTGCTCCGGGCGCGGTCCGCGCGGCGCCATGTTGCATACCAGCCGCTCCACCGTGCGCGGTCGATCTTGCCACATCGACTGCAATACAACTTCTATTGTTAGTGACTGACAATAAACTGTTGTAATACTTTGATACTTATTGCCTTCTCTATTACTCTCTTAGGACAAAACAGAGACAAGAGTAGTACAGACAAGGAAATGTTTAATTACTATTCTTAATTGATTGGTTTAAACTGATAATACCACTTAAGTGAGATGTAATATTGCATGAGTAATAAACTAGGAGAAATATAAAATATTACCATAAATCTACTTCGACCACAGCCGACCATGAACGTCTTCGACCACAACATTTGTGCGAAATCACCGTAGTAACTGCTGTTTTGTGTTGGTCTGAAAAGGTCAAATATACTGATATACTTATGATTCCACTTGCACAGTACACGAAATTGTATCACTTACGGAACGTATGAAGAGATGTTTCCCTTGTAGTGCCTGCCCTGCATGTACCATAAGTCCACGAGAGACTCCACACGAAGGCCGGGCGCCTCGCCCACTACTGACGCTACGTTCTGGCCCACCGGCAAAGAGTCTTTAAATTCAATAAAAATGTTATGTTAGTTCTTGTCAGCTACATTAATTAACTTACATACTAAAGGACGTTTAATGTTTACTTAACCCATAGTTTAGTAATGATATCTATACTTAAAAATAATGTCTCTTTGATAAATCATAGAATTCGTATGCGGTAGTTATTCTTTTCAATTTAAAATAAACGAATAAAATTGCATGACAAAATTGTGCTCAAATTGAATTAAGAAGCATTTAAGAATGGAATGGTTAGACACTAACACAGATCTCTGCACACGTCGTGATCTTCGGGGAACTTAGGCGGTGCGCATTGATCGGCCCATAGTTGCGCTTCGCGCGCCAGAACTTCCACCCAACGCTGGTATACAAAACAAATCATCATTTTATCTGTTTTTGACTTTTGATTTTCATCGTGATATAAACGAATTATTAGTACCATGAGCATCGTCAATGGTAGGCAAACCATCTAGAGAATCGTAAACTATACAAAAAGTACTGCGAAAAAGTAAAATGCCTTCAACTCCTATAGACATAGACAGGTAACTCGAAAACTTTTTAGATTTTTCATTAAATTGGCCCCCTCTTGGTTATCCCCACATATCAACGGCTAAAAACGACCAAGCGACCATGGTCACTACGTTACCATGTTGAGCATGTCCCCAGCTGCTGGCAGGTTTCCAAGTAGACCGAGTGCGGCATCGTTACGTCGATGGTTCAGCCGCGTTAAGATACGCATCTTCTCTTCCTTGCTAAGGCTCGCCGGCATCAGACCCGTGCACAGCGGGCCAGGACCTTTCTAATACATACACGTACATGTAAAGCCTTGTTGATTTTGAATCAATGGTTTCTTAAGTTTTTTAATGAAGGTACATTTCGTTCTATGAACTTCATTTTCATTTCTACAGTGTATGTTTTTTATTGGCTTATAGTGATTGCGATTTGTATGGAGAGGAACTGTTCCACTTTCGTTTTGATAGAAATATATGTTAGTTTTTGGCATCAAATATAAGCCAATAATTACGTTAGTATTAAAATTATTGTCTTACCAAGAGGAAGTATTAGTAACCTTTTAAAGTTTCTCAACAAAATTAACTTTTTTTTAAAAATCTATACTCACAGAATGTTGACAAAATGTGTGTGAATCAGTTCCCGCGCACATTGTAGCACCACAATAATTTATTTTAGATGAAACTTTATTAAATATATATGAGCAAATAAATAATAACTGTAAGTACTGCATTTTTAGAGTAATGTTAAATTTTAAAACACATATTATTTGTAAACGGCGTCGCTTGTGTAAAAAATCATATTTTGTCAGATGTCATTTTTTCAGAATAATTGAGAATAACTGACAGACTTTTAGAAACCATAGACCAAATCTAAATAATGTACATTCTGACCCTTTTCTTTTAAGGATGGAAAGTTAACGGAGAAGGAGACGCATAGGAGGGGAAGTATCCTCTTTCTGTTCGTCCCTTCCTTCTATGTCTATGGACAGCGATCGTGATGCTACTTGGACGTATTCTGTTGATCGCTGACTGCCGTCTTATGCAAAGGAATTCGCTATTGGTGTTTGATAGGCGGATATCTATGGGCGTCGTTGACCACCTCGGTTCTCGCCGCTCGTTTGCCTCCTTTTATTGCATTAAAAAAGATCATATAACAGTACGTTTTTACTGTCGCTACATTTGTCGTATTTCATAAACTCTCTCACTCTCTCCGTCTCTTTTTACTTGAACAAGTAATACTTTTTGCCTTATATGTATTTCGCAATGGAAACTTAGGAAAAAGGAATTTTCATTTTCAACTCTCTTTCGCTCCCGTTAAAGTATATTGTTGCAAATAAGCCATCTTGGCCAAAAAAAAAGATGTTTTTTTTTTTTAAATATTTATTGATGCAAGATAAATCTATTACAAATAATAACTTAAATATAATATAAACAAATTATAGACTTTACGTCGTAGACATAAGGTACAAATTTTTTTACGTCCATTAAATGAACAAAATAACATCGCTCATAAATGCAAATACGGAAAAGACAAATGATATACCAAAAATAATTTAATTGTGCTTAATTTTGATATGGCATTTGATACTACATACTAGGGTTGTAACGGAGGCCATTTTAACGGAAGCGGATGCGGATGCGGAGTTCACCTCTGCAGAAGCGGAGGTCAATAATAAAATATTAATTGCGATTTATTAAAGAAATAAAAACTAAAACTACGTTAATTTAAAATACAGATTGGTACATATTTACAAGATACACTATATTATGCAAATATATTGTATAACAATTATAGTTAGGTGACTTATCACGCCTGCGCGAGCCGCATAAACGATACCTAATCATCCTATTCGCGTAAAAGACGTAAATTGACCTCCGTTATAACTCCGCATAAGAAATAACGGAAGCAGATGCGGGGTTCCGTTACAACACTACTACATACAATCACCAAACTATAACTTACAAAGTAAAAGTTAAGTTTTAAAACGAAATAATTAAATAGAATATACTACTAAACCCTTAATCCAAATAAATAATGAAATAAATCATGACTATGAAGCTTAAAAACCATAAACACATTGCTGTCTCTCTTCTATTTAAAGAAATTATGAAGATAGCAATAACATACTTTGTCATTGAATTTAGCGCCATCTATGTCCAATCGATGAAACGTTTTAATTTCAATGAAATGTCATAGATGTCACTATTTATAATTATGATTTTATTTACGAATTTTACTAGGAATTGACTTTATATGTTCCCATGTTTTGTTTATTGTAGTTTAATATGAAAATGTACAAAGCACTTATTATTGGAATATTTTAAATTATAAAATTTGGTAATTGAATTTATTACAGTCTTTCAATACTTGAAGAGGTATTTTTTTATGAATATTTTTAATTTAAATAACGGTTTATTTTTGTATTCCCTTTAAAGTTGTCTGTTGAAATTTTCATTTTACAAGTAGTACGGGCCGTTTTATTTTCTCTTATTAAAAACCTAAGAACTGCATAATTTGGTATATCTACTTTTCTTCAGGCGTGGGAAGGTAATACATGGAGTCGATGAAATGCTTCGTAATATCGGAAACCAAGCTGCGGTCAGATATCTCTTGAGCCACGCCGTATATCGCCATCTGGAAAATAATTCACATATATATTTCGTACTAGTTTTTACGCGAACCACGGTAGAATTAAAAAATATAAGTAACCTATGTACTATGTTCTACATTTATACAAATCATCAATCTTTTTACCTTTTAACATCCATCCATCTATACTTTCGCATTTATAATGTTAGAAAAATTTTATTCAGAGACCTATTCTTATCAAATCGAAACAAATACTTCAATTTTGACTACCTAAGGAAGGAATTTAAGGTAAAAAAAAACTGAATTAAGCCATTTTTTGACCGACTTCCCAAAAGAAGGAGGTACTCAATTCGTCTGTATGTTTTTTTTTATGTGTGTTACGGCATAACTCCGCCGCTAGTGGACCGATTTTGATAATTCTTTTTTTATCCGAAAGGTAATGCTTGCAGGTGGGTCCCATTTTAATGGTTGATTTTTTCAGACTATATTCTACATCAATGACAAATTTAATCTAGATCCATTATCTTTCTAGAGATAAGCAGTAACAAACATCCATCCATACATGTAAACCTTCGGATTTATATTAGTAAAGAAGTAAGTTTAAAAGTTCAAACAGTAATATCTAAAAGGGATTTAAACAAAGTGTAGTCGATATTAAGCTTTATTAGTATGCAATAAGACTCACTTTCCCCTGCACGGGCTCGCCGCCGTGCGCGCTGCGGCAGTCCGCGGCCACCGCGCGCACGTCCGCCACGAAGCGCTGCGCCACGCCCGACTGCGTGTGCGCGTGCGTCACGCAGATGTGCACTCTACAGACATACAAATACAGTACATATTACTATGACAAATGTTACACGATCTTCGAATTAAAGCCAGTCTAAGTTGAACCTTACTTTATATAGTTGATCAATTAAATCTGGGATCTATTTACATTGGATATCAAAATCGTTGATGTTATTAGTTACAATTGGTATAACTTATTTTTATTTCAATACTAGCTTTCGCCCACGACTATGTCCGCGTGGATTACAAAAGTAAAAGTAAGTAGTCTATGTGTTCTTTCAGACTATCCTCTACATCTATACAAAATTTCTTTGAAATCCGTTCAGCCGTTTAGGCTTCAAACTCTAACCAACATCTATCCATCCAAACTTTCGCATTTACAATATTAGTAACAGTAATAGAGATAAAACCAATAGTAAATTTGAGACTTACCACAATACATTTATAAAAAGCGCACAATATTTAATAACTAATCTTCTGAGATTAGCGCACACAAACACACAGACAAATACATAACTAACCCTGAAGGGAACTGCAGTGCGTTGAGCGCCCAGCCCTTCTTGTGCAGCAGTTCGGCGAACTTGAAGATGTCGAACTGCTTGGAGCCGAAAGCCACCACACTCGTCACCGGCTTCCCGAACACGAACAGACCCTCGATCTTACGTATCCTGGCAATAAACACCAGAAATAAATAATTCATGTATACCAACAAGTATGTATTATATAAACTAACGAGCTGTTGCCCGCGACTTCGTCCGCGTGGTATTAGAAAACATACGAACTATATAAATAACAAAAAAGCTACGTATCCCTCGGGAACCACACATTTCTCGATAATGACCCTTATCCCATGTACTCTAGACTTTGTTTTATATCTGTGCCAAATTTCAATAAGATATGTTGAACCGTTGCAGAATGATCGAGTAAACATTAAAAAACTAAATTAATGAATCCCACGGGAACCGTAACTATTCCCGGGATAACAAGTAGCCTATGTGTTCTTCCAGACAATGCTCTAAACCTGTGCCAAATTTCATGGAGGTCAGTTCAGCCGTTTAGGCTACAAACGCTAACAAAGATTCATCCATCCATCGTAACTGTCGCGTTTATAATATTCATATGATACTAGCTTTCGCTCGCGACTCCGTCCGCGAGGAATGAAAAATCATAAGTGAGTAGTCTATGTGTTCTTCCAGACTATCCTCTACACCTGTACCAAGTTTCATCGATATTCGTTCAGCCGTTTAGGCTACAAACTCTAACAAACATCCATCTAAACTTTCGCATTTATAATATTTATGATAAGATTTCAATCAGTATGAACGCGTATAAATAATATTGCAAATTAGAGTACATCGACGAATAACACTCAATAGTCAAGTGTCAACTTATAAAATATCAAAAGATAACATTAATGTTGTTGTAAATGTAACAAATGTTTTTACAGTAGGGGCATGTTATGAGGAGGGATAAATCGCATGTAACAAGGACGTTAGTTATGAGTGTGTACATCGGTAGAGGTAGACATAGAAAGAGATGTACGGATTGCGTGAAAGGTGACATGGTAAAAACATGATAAATTTCAACAGTGGTAGAGCCCGCTTTAACATCTTCGCACGAATAGGCCGGCTCGCCCGGTGTATAACGACCACATAGAAAACAGGCGTGAAGTGGAAGCAATTCCGCGTTTCGTCTGATGCGTGTGGTGCCGGAGGCCTAATTTTAGCCCCTTTCCCTTTCCACCCTTTACTTAAGAGGAAGGATAAGTGGATTTGATGGCGGAGGGGACGCATAGGAAGGGGAAATGTCCTCTTTATGTGCGTCTCCTCCTCCGTCGATTAATGGATGATATATGATATCGGATGATAGAGTTAATTGGAGGACCTACTGACCCTACGGGAGGTATATGGTAGGGGAGATGATGATGATGTAAGTGACATACGTACTCTTTTTCTATATATCTGGCTGTGGTGATGATCTCATCTGTCATCTGAATATATCTGTCGCGGCCCACATACATCATGGTGGCCCAGCACGCCGCGATCAGCCCGCCCGCGCGACTGCCTACAACATTAAAACGGTACATTTAAAAGCCTTTTAAAAAAAATTGGATAGGGAAAGGGACGCAAAGAAGATAGAAATGTCCTTTCTCTGTACTGTCAATCAATTGTGTAATGTATTAGAAACGTTATTTTATTTTACAATCATGCCAAAACCCTTTTTTATGAGCAAATGAATTTATTTTGTTCCTTTCTATCTTTCTGTCTTTCATCCGTAATTCATTCTTTCTCTGTCTCTCTCTCTCTGTTTCTTTTTTTTCTTTCTCACTTTCTTTCTTTCTTTCTTTCTTTCTTTCTTTCTTTCTTTCTCTCTCTCTCTCTCTCTCTCCCTCTCGCTTTCGTTAATTCATTCTTTTTCTCTCTCTTTCAAAAGTTATCAATAATATAAAATGAGTAATTGCCAGTGTGCGTGAGTAACAAAGAGCGTGCAGTGCGTGTGATCGTGTTGGCTCACCATTGACAGTGGGCGAGCCGTAGACGCCGCCGGGCCACTCCGTGGTGACGGTGTACTGGCAGTGGCGGTACTCCGCGCGCCGGTACAACACCACTGACGTACCCTTCGGTGCGTACCCGTACTGGAAAACAACGTAAATGTACCGACTTTGAGAACACCGGACGTATAAGTATAGCGTTATTTAACATCTAAATAACAGATTATATAATGACAAATTATGTTTACATTTTCTACTAGCTTTATATGCCATTTATCCTGTACTAGCTTTTGTTCGCAACACAGTCCGCGCGGAATTTTAGATAGATGTGTTATAGTTTCTCATTTTATTTGAATTCTATACAATAATTGAAAGTGACAAAGTTACAAGCCATTTCAAATAACTTTAATATTCCGCGCTGACGTCATATATTCCGAGCTGTTTTTAAATCTTTACACTTTGAACCTATACACTTAAACCTATACTTTAAATCTATACACTTTTTTTTATATATCAACTTCTACAGACTCTTGGTCCGTACTTTAACAGTGGTAGAGCCCGCTTTAACATCTTAGCACGAATGGGTCGGCTCGCCCGGTGCAATACCACGACCACACAGAAAACAGGCGTGAAATGGAAGCAATTCCGTGTTTCGTCTGATGAGTGTGATGCCGGAGGCCTAATTTAAGTCTTTACCACGGAAGGGGAAGTGGATTTGACGGTGGAGGAGATGCATAGGAAGGGGAAATATCCTCTCTATGTGCATTTACTCTTCCGTCAGATAAGCGTGGGCAACGCATCTGCAACTGCGGATGTCTATGGGTAGCGGTCGCTTCGCCATTTTGGCGGATTCAGGTGGCCACTTGCTCGTTTGCCACCTTATGTTATAAAAAAAAAACTCTTTTTTTGCACAGTTTGTTTTTCTTTTCTTTAAAAAATCTATACACTTTCAAACCTATACACTTTAATACTCACTTTATGCGTATCGGCAGATATACTAGCGACGCCAGGCAGTCTGAAGTCGAACAGCGGGACGTCATAGCCCGCGTCAGGCATGAACGCCGCCACGAACCCTCCCAGACACGCGTCCACGTGCAGCGGCACGCCGTACTCCTGCGCGATGTCCGACAACGCCGCGATGTCGTCCATTGTACCGTACGGGTAGTTAGGCGCCGAGCCTACGATCTGAGTTACGTTGCTAATTGTAAATGTTCATTTAAATTCACTATCTTTTATATGAAAAAAAAATTGTATTCAATTTGTTCATTTTTTTTAACACTTTCACACTTTGAATGGTAAAATCGTCTATAATAAACCATTTAATTTTTAGTAGTTGAAGTATAATAAAAATTGTTAAACATTGATTTTACTTTTACAATCTTCTCTTTAAAAATCCAGAAATAATTATACTATATGGCTTTCGAATTCAAATCCAAACACGCCATAAATAAATACAAGCTACAAATTTTTGGTTTTTGTTTTTTATAGAGGCAAAAATTTAAATATAATCGTATAATAACTCAAAAAATAATTGTCAATGTTTCAATAATGCATTTTATTTAGAACAAAAACAGTATTTTTACTAATACCCCCTCCCTGCCTATGCCCCCCTTTACCCTTATAACTTATACTTACCAAACAAGTCCTCCTACCAATCGCGTTTCTAACAGCCTCTACATCCACTGTGTACGTATCAGGACAGACTGGTATCGTGACCACGGACAGGTTGAGATACTGCGCCGCCTTGTCGAAAGCGGAGTGGACAGTGGAAGGAACCACTATCTGAGGGTTGGATATACCCTTGCTGACCGCTAAATCACGGAATGCCTTGCAAGCCATTATTATTGATTCCGTGCCACCTGTTGTTACCTGTGTGAATAATTAAATATGGATTAAACATAAAAATATGACATTTAAGAAATATATAGACTAGACATAAAGAACAGTTTTTACCGGTAACTTCTTTTTACGGTAATATCTCAGTCAGATTTGACACGCAAAGATTTTCAGTGTTTGAATTATTTTCTTGTTTGTGATTTTGACTATCGGAAACCAGGTAGCGCTAGAGGTTATGTGAAAATTTTAAGTAAATTATCAACTATGCCTACTCTATATATATTTTGAATCTCTTTGGGGATTAACAAATAATAAACGCGTTAAGTAAATGGGTTCACTTTAAATGATGTCGAAAGACGAATTCTATTATCTATCAGTCTTTTCAATAAAACCAAGGGTAGATACAGTTATCAAATCCTCTTTTCTATACCTATTGAAAGTAGTAAACGCATATTTCCCTAAAAATACATATCACACCCATTCGTTCTTGTTTCACAAGAACGTATTCAAACAATTATAAAACGTAATAGGCTACAATTAGCATGTACTAAAGATAGTGAACATTCTTGCTTGTTAGTCAATGTTATGACGCACTAACCATTATTTACATTAGACTTGGTAATTCTTGTTACTTTTGTAACAAATGCAGGATAAAGATGCTTAATTGTAATTTGTAATAACATAAAATATTTATTGTGGGGATTTGACGGTAGAGGAGACGCATAGGAAGGGAAAATATCCTCTTTATGTGCGTCTCCTCCCCGCCGATTTAGGGCATCTGCACTTGCGTATTCAGCTGGCCGCTTGTTCTTTTGCAACCTTATGGTATAAAAAAAATAAGAATCAATTTTACTCACAGTGCCACAGCATTCATCATCGCCATGGAAAAGGTTAACCGCCATCCGGACCACTTCTGCCTCCATCTTGTTGACACCGGGGAAGACATCAGCATGCAATGGGTTAGTGTACGCGGTGAGGGCGTACGCGTCGCACGCTACCTTCGCTATCTCCTCACTGAGATGGTACACAGCACCAGACACGCTCCCGCCACGCCAGTCGTAAGTACCTAAGATTATCGCAAAGTTCGTAAAAGAACTTATAATATCCGATCATCCGAATAATCGAACTAGAATTTTCAGAACCAGCATCCAACATGAAGTTTTCCTTCACAGTAAAAGCGTCGGGTAAGTACAGTCGGGGAAACTGGCGGTGTTCCACCTCAAAACTACTATTATTTGAACCTTTTTAAACGAGACGCGGAACAAAAATCAGTACAATGAAGCTTATACATATATACGAAAAAAAAACTCGGTGAGTGATACACGGCTAGTTTCTTTTTATTATCCCTTCTAATTAGTTATTCATAGGAGTAGGTGAAGTTTGCCTCGTTGCAGTAAACATGGCAATTTTGCCTAACAACACCGCGGATTTCCGCGATTGTACATCCATATGAATCCAAAAAACACTGGTAAATGGCGGGATTCGAACATAGGACCTGCAGATTACAAGTCAAGTTCTTAACCTCTGAGTAACCGACCTTCGGTAGCATGTAACAAACAGCTACGATAAATTTAGTATTTTTATAGAGATATGTTTAAAGAAACTACAAGAAATATTCCATAAAATTGACTTATAACAAACTATTCAACTAATGAAAACTACTAATTCTTGCTATAGTATATCAAAACATATTCTTTAGCTGTATCTGGAGATATAAATTCAACTTGTCATCAGGAAACAAGTTACTACTATTTTTCTGTCCAAAACAGGAATAAAGATAAACAGATTAGGATTTACTGTTATCAAATTAGACAATTTCTTATCCTTGAGTTAACAATGTTTGTCTTCATTAAGGTCACAGCAATCTACAGGATGTTGTAACTGTTGCATTAACTGATAAAATAAACAATTTAATTGTTACACAAAGGATAAATTAAACTGAAATCATCTTAATAATGGTCGTAAAGATAGTGTGTTTTAAAAAGAATTTGCCCAGAGGATATAATTTAAAATATATTATATTGTAAAATAGCTGTCGCTCTCAACAGCGCCCGCGTTAAAATAGAGAACAAAGCCTTTGTTACTCACTGATAATATAAATTTTTAATGTTGAAAGAATTTTTGAAATCGGCATAATAGTTTTTGAGTTATTTCAATACATACATAAATACAAATCTTTACTCATTACAATATTAGTATCAATTGATTAATGATTTAATACAAAATGCAAACTAATTTATACAATGAAAATACAAAGTACAAAGTAATTTTTTTTACTTTCATAATTTTTGTTTACAGGAAGAGGTAATCCCAGACGAGTGGTGCGGTAGCGAGCTGGTACCCATTTATAAGAATAAGGGGGATGTGCAGGACTGTAACAACTATAGAGGAATAAAGCTCATGTCACACAGTATGAAAGCTTGGGAAAGAGTGGTAGATGCAAGAATCAGAGAAGAAAGTGAGGTATCTCGGAACCAATTCGGATTTACGCCAGGTCGGGGGACTACGGACGCCATTTTTGCCATTCGCCAGCTGTGCGAAAAATTTAGGCGTGTGCATAAGAACCTGCACATGGTGTTCGTAGACCTCGAAAAGGCGTATGATAGGGTTCCGAGGGATGTTTTGTGGTGGGCTTTGAAAGTAAAAGGAGTGCCTGGGAAATACCTGCAGCTTATTCAGGCCATGTACTGGCGAGCCAGTACATACGTCCGGTCCGCTGCTGGCGATAGTGACAGGTTCGGTGTCTCGGTGGGTTTACACCAGGGGTCGGCTTTAAGCCCGTATCTGTTCCTCCTGGTAATGGATGCTTTGACATTAAACATACAGGAGGAGGCACCCTGGTGTATGCTTTATGCCGATGACATCGTGCTTGTCGGGGAGGATGAATGCGAGGTACAGAGCAGGTTGGAAGAATGGCGGGTTAAATTGGAGGGAGCTGGTCTTAAAATCAGCAGGACCAAAACTGAACATTTGTTTTGCGATTTTGGCGGTCCGACCAGCTTCTCTCCAATCGCCTTAAATGGTGTGCCTCTACCAACCTGCTCCGACTTTAAGTACCTCGGTTCTCTAGTCCAGTCCGACGGTGGCGTTGACCGAGACGTAAAAAGCCGAATAAATGCAGGTTGGATGAAATGGCGACAGGTTACTGGTGTGACTTGTGATCCAAGAATGCCTCTTAGGCTTAAGGGACAGATCTACAAGTCCATCATAAGACCTGTCGTATTGTATGGATCTGAATGCTGGGCCACCAAAGTTGCGGATGAAAGGAGATTGCATGTGGCTGAGATGCGTATGTTAAGATGGATGTGTGGTGTGACAAGATTGGATAAAGTTAAGAATGTGTACATTAGAGGAAGTTTGAAAGTAGCGCCAGTGGTGGAGAAATTGAGAAGCAAAAGGTTAGCGTGGTATGGACATATTATGCGACGCAATGATGGGGACATAAACCAGAAAGTGTTGAGATTGAATGTGGATGGCTACAAAGGAAGAGGAAGACCGAAGAAAGTATGGATGGATTGTGTGAAGGAAGATGATGTGCTTAAGAAAGGAGTGGATTCAGATATGACGGCTGATAGAGATGTATGGAAGAGCAGCACATACTGTGCCGACCCTCCATAAGGGATAAGGGCAAGTGGATGATGAATTTTTGTTTAACTTTCGAGGCTCATTTTTTTACATTTTCTACTTATTGATTTAATAATACTATACCATGAACTTTCAGGGATCAGTACCTATAAAAGTTTACAATATAAATAAACTAGCTATTTCTTGTGACTTCCACGAGGAATTAAAATAGAGTAGTTTTCTAACAGTGAAAGAAGTTTCGAAATCGCCAAATTACTTTTGGAGTTATTTCAAATCATAAAAAAAATCTGTCGACTTTATATTAGTATAGATGAAATCATACCCAATGCAAGATGATCTTTAATCTCTTCAGCGATCTGTTCAGCCGAGAGACCAGAAGTAGGAAGTTCCCTTCTAACTGTCACTCCGGCCAATCTCTTTGTAATATCTTTCTGGAAGTCGCGCTTAATTTCCGCCATTTTCTCTTCAATTTTACGTCTCACCATAGGCACTTGACGAAGCCAACGGAAGAACTCTTTCCTTAGCCTTGTTGCTACACCTAAAAAAAAACTAATATTAAACATTTGTCATAGAATAAAAAACCATAATCTAGAGTTACATAAAATACAAAAACACTTCTATGCCAAAGTTGTATTTAAAAATAAAAAGCCTATAAAACATTAACTACGCGACTTCGGTGGTGTGAAATTAAAAACACAATAAAAAGCATGTTACTCAGTGATAACATAGCTTATTAATGGTATAAGCATTTTTGAAATCGGCCCCATAGCTTTTGAGTTATTTTAATACATACAAAACTACAAATCTTTCCTCTTTATAATATTAGTATAAACTATTATATACTTTACTTGAATTTCAGATTATTTGGAATTATTCAAAGGACAAAATTCTTCTTTTGTGGAACTTTAAATATCTCTTACCTAACTTGTTCAATACACTACACTGCACGCACTATGGAAGGCTAATGAACAATAATTGATGGTGCAAGCCGTGTTATCAAGATACTAAGCAGGAACTAAAATGAGTTCCTACTAACCGCCTAAAGATTTTTCGAGAAACGTGAAGTTCGCACAATCAGTGTACAGTCAGCTGTATAAATTTGAGTACATTTACAAAATTTCACCTTAGAAACCGAAAGCAAAAACAAATTTCTGTAGCTTGGTAATGTTTAGTGCAATACTAAACAAGACGAAATGTAAAAAAGTAATATGCGAATAAACTGTGCTTTTGACTCTGCGGTTTCATCACACAAAATTTTATACAGTCCATGCAGGTAAATGTGTAGCTGACTGTACAATGTAAACCAATCAATTAGTCAACTTTACATTTAATTTTCAGTGAAAAATGTTTTGTTGAAGTGTTCGGAAATGCGAATAAGGTATAAACTTTTGACTTTGACTTTTAAAATTACACTACAGAGTATGTATACTTGTAATCAGTCCAAATGAATTTTTGAGTTCAAAATCTACACATTCTTTATAACATTAAAGTAAGAACACTAACTTACTCTCTCTGCCATTGTAGAGACTGTGCGCCCAGACAACAGCAAGCACAGATGTAGCGGTCATAGTAGCCACCTGCCATGGCTCCTTGCCCTCGAAGAAACGGTTTATGGCCTTTAATGGCTGTGGTCTCTCACTCATGGCTACCTAAAGACAAATAATCTATGAATTTACTAATATCTGTTTACTAAAATACTAAGCTAAGTAGGAGTACACCACTTTAGTTTTAACTGATCACTCCAACAATGTAGGCAATGTTGTTAAACTGTGCAGTTAAAAAAATTTATACTTCAAAAATTTAATAATTTAAAAATAGGATACATAACATGGGTTTATCTTATAATAAATTTTCCTGCTAACAATCAAAGTTTAACATTTATTGTAAAGTAGCTTTGCCTGTGAATCAGTCTGTGCGGAAATAAAAAAAAATAAATACCCTATATCTATTTTTAGACTATGTTCTATGTCTATGGCAAATTTCAACATTATCTGTTGTGCCATTCTGAAGATACATAGTAACAAACATGGATTCATCAAAAGTTTTGCATTTATAATATTAGTATGATAAAAATATAGAATGTAACAAAATAAAGCAATCAGAATAGATGACTTGAACTACAGGCAACATTTTATTATGTGTCATAAACAGAGTTTAAGTCATTGTTTGTGATGGACAAAGCAATTCACACAATTAAAATCATTTTCAACCTTCACACTTACAACACAGAGTTGTTAAGTGGTTACTGAGGGACTATTATACTGTAGACTAAATATTAAATGAAACTAGAAATACTTCAAGAAAATTCATTAATTCATTCATTTTTATTAATTCGATAATGATATTTTAATGAGAGCCAAGAAACTTTTTAATTATTTTGAAGATGTTATTTTTTCTTGGTTAAACTTTTTTTCTTACTTAAAATAAATATGTATTAGATAAACAATATTCAAGTTTAGTTTTATTTCCTTGTCCTTGAAAATCATGAACAAAGATAAAAAATTGACCACTTATCATGGAAATTAACAAAGGTGTGATCAGGACATGAAGTTGTATATTTCATTGTTATAAAATACATTACCAACTGTATAAAATTATTTAATTAATTATAGAAACAAATTTCATGATTTTGTTACTCACGTTTTTTTACTACTTTGATAACAATAAATGATTTACATTTTCCCATATTAATATTTTTAATCAAAGGATAGTTTATCGTAGAAATTATAAAAAATGTCTAATTTTAGACAAGATATTAAATAATAATTCAAACTTCGTACAATTTACGCATTATTAATTTCAGATTTCAATTTTGCAAATAGTACCTAACGCAACTTTCTCCTTTTAAGCCTATTCCAAAAATAATAAAATAAACAATCCACTTACCGAATTCCTTGTAATAATATTGGAATACTAAGAAATATCAATAATTTTTCGTAAACTCAAATCACTTTAAGTCATATCATAATCATGATTAGTAGATAAGAGGAGTTAACGCTTAGTGCACTCGTTGTATGTCGTAAGAAGTTAGTACAAAGTAATTAAACAAAGGTCAACATGTAAACCATCCGAGTTAACAATTAAATGAATTCAAAGTACATTGATAACAACGCAACTTTTCTATAAATTATATGACAGATGACAAATATGACTGTCAGAAAGACAGTGATAGTTGGTAACAGTGACAGTATTACTTCTACGTTTCGATTTACTCAAATTTTTCTCTTGTTTTGACTTCCAATGAATTGAAATAAAAAAAAAACTTATTCCATTTAACATGTTCTGAATTTTGTGGATAACGTAAGCTCGACTTGGATTAAGGTAAGTCTTGACGTTTTGAATTTACTTTTGAAAAAGACGCAATCTAAACATTTTTTTGATGTATGATGATTAATGAGATGAGTGACTGAATGCTTCATTATGCCTTTGTCAAATAAAACAAAAACTATTGCCATTGGCTGCACTATTTAGCTAATAATTTACAGCCAATAATACAATAAAAATAAATAAAACAAAGGCTTCTGATTGGACAAAATAATTTATCTCACTCCTCTCGCGCTTGCGCCTACAGCACAATGAGTCACCATCCGCCAGTTTCTTGTATTCCTAATACTGGCAAAATGTCGAAAGCTAAAAAAGTGATCGAAGAAGCGAAAGAAATAAATAATCCTGAGATAGACTTGGTAGATAAAGGAATTTCCAGTCTCGATGAAATACCAGGACTATGTAAGTCGTTTTTTCCTTTTACGGTATCCCAGCGAAAACAAGTTTAGGAAGTAGAATGCAGCCTTGTTTTTCTTTTTTTGGATTTCTTAATAGAATGTTCTATTGTAATTAAATTAATAAGCGGTTTTATTTCAGATATTAAATGAAAATTAATATTATTATTTTAATATCTCTAAATACATAGTGATGTCAATATATTTAAGAGTATTACGAAAATAAACATGATCTAATGTTTACACGAATTCTTCCAGCATGTGGAGTTTTTTCAATTTTCTACTTTCTTTCAAACTTAGAATATTATTTGCTTCTTTGTTATAGTGTATTATAGTGAAAACCAAACTTCTATAACACAATTATTTTTATTAGGGTGTGGCTCTGATGTAATGAGGAAAATGCATACTCCACCCACAAGCTAATATAATATGGAGCATATTTAAGTCATACTTAATTTTTCTGTATAATCTGTCACCAACCCATATCCCCACTGAGAGGTGCCTACCCTTCTGTGGCGCTTTTATAACTTTTTTTCTTTCGTTTTTACTTTTTTTTTTATAGTTGAGATAAATAGTGTTGACCAAATGTTGTCTGTTCTATATATTGCCAATGTAATGCAAGATATTTTATGCAGCTATTGGTTATTTCCAATGTAATTAAACACAAAAAAATATCAAACCGAGAACCTTCTTTTTTTTTTAGGTTTGTTAAACAGCACAAACGTACTGAAATTTAAGACCTTTTATGTTTTTTTTTTCAGTCACATTGTCCAATATAACAAGGCTTTCTCTAAGCCACAATAAGATCCAAGTAGTACCAGCCGCACTTGCGAATCTTATGAACTTGGAGATATTGAACTTTGCAAATAATCATATAGAGGAATTGCCAGTCAGTTTGTCTTCGTTACCCAAACTCCGTATTTTAAATGTATCACTCAACCGATTGTATGGACTGCCGAGAGGTTTCGGTGCATTCCCTGTACTTGAGATTCTGGATTTAACATACAATAATTTAAATGAAAAAGCTCTACCTGGAAATTTCTTTATGATGGGTGAGTGGTTTTTATTAATTTGTTTGGTATGTTGTGATTCAAAATTGTAGCTTTTTTTTACATTTTACAGAAAGTCTAAGGGCATTGTATTTAGGAGACAATGATTTTGAATATTTACCACCTGAAATTGGCAATTTGAAGAATTTGCAAATAGTAAGTAGTAATTTTTCTAACATTTCTTAAGCTTATTATGCTAATGTAACTGATAAATCAATCTGTTTAGTTAAAAAATGTCATTAGCTTTACTGCACATTCCAACTAAACTAAAACTTTAAGCCTAGATCCAATTTTAGATTCAAACTCCCTACATTTTATAACATATTAACATTTTTCAGTTATCAATGCGGGAAAATGACTTGATCGAGGTGCCGCGAGAACTGGGCCAGTTGTCTAGACTCCGTGAACTACATCTGCAAGGCAACCGCCTTGTAGTCCTGCCTCCGGAGATTGGTAAGACCTGTATTTACATTTTTTCTATTAACCAGTTTCTTACAAAAGCAGTCTCAGTACAAGTTTGGATTATTTTTGATGTTAAGGTTATGCGTTAAGAACTTAGTGTTTCAGATATTTTAGCTTATATACACGTGTTTAACGAAAGTTTATATTTTTGGGGTAATATTGAAAGTGTCTTGTTTATGTGAGTTTTAATATTGTTTATTTGTATTGTAAATCTAACATTGTTTTTTTTTTCTCTTAGTAATAGTCATTTTATTAGTAGTTAACAGTAGAAATTTGTAGGTTCCCTAGATTTAGTGGGCAACAAATCTGTGCTGAGGTTGGAAGGTAACTTCTGGGTTCCTCCCATCGAGGACCAGTTGAAGCTCGGACCATCTCATGTTGTTGACTATCTGCGCTCCGAGACATATAGAGTGTGAGTATTTTGATTTATTGAGTCTTAGTTTTACAGACAAGAAAACATTTAAAGATTTATAACTTAGTTTCACAATTGTAGCTTTAGGCCATGACTTTGTCTGTGTGTATTTAAAAATATAGTAAGTAGTCTATGTATTCTTCCAAATTTTATCGAGATTACCGGATTTTGGTATCTCCAAAATGTAGTACCATTCTAACAATTATCCATCCATCCAAACTTTCTACAACATTAGTAAGATGAACTGTTACTAGAAGAATAGGGTTGCTACCCTTCTAGAGAAATAAAAGCATACTCTTTGGAATAAAAAAATATATCCTAGCTCCCTTGAAATTGTTAATGTTGTTTATTATAGTTTATACAGCCGGCACATGTCGGCGAAGCCCCCGCCGCCGCCGCAGACACTCGACAAGAGCAAGAAGGCCAGTCGGGCCAGGTCTTAGAACTTACGACCTCTGACAACATACAAAAATATATTTATATGCTTTGTATGTTTGAGCAGTGGAAACCTACTGTAACTGCCTTATGCTAAAGATATCTAATATTTTAAATTATTAATTATGTTTTATTTATGTGTAAAATATACTTTTTTACATGAAATTAATAACAATTTAATTAAAAAAAAAACTTGTATTTGATGTGTTTGAGATTTTAATATGGGATCATAATTCCTCGAAATAGCGAAGTGAACGCTTTAAAGGTAGAGTTAAACGGACAATTTATGCCTCCTCTCTCCCGCCACATATACTTTCCGTTCTCGTCCTTTCCTTGTACGAAGAGTATAATAGGAAAGAGAAAAGAAAGGAGGAGAAATTATTGCTGTTTTATATGTGCTTGTTAATTGTGTAATTTCAATCTAATATGTTTGTGAAAAATATGTAACAATCGGAAAAGTGTAATTTTGTTACTTATATGAATAAATTTTTTACAGCCTTACAAACGCGATATAAAGTTAAACTTAGGAATAAACTGAGTATAAGCAAGTATTAGTACAATTTTTTTTGTAACGCTATTAAGCTTTAAATGTTTTTCCGCTTCAGTATAAATTTTTCTTATAACTTCATTATTTGATAGTTTACAATATGACAGACGTTGAAATTGTAATGTAAATTGTTGTTCGTGTGGCCTTATTTAAGGTACAGTGAGTTCATTAACCCTTATACAAAAATTGGGAAATTATTTCCTACTTGACAGTACCGTAATATTTCTTTATTATTTCTTTACTGGTAACTCTAATCAGTACCAATCCAGGAACAAAATAATTTTACACACTTTTTAAATATTTTACTTGGCAACATTTTGGACAAAATTGCGTAATTTTATTTAAAAAAAAAATCCATTTGATTAAGGGTTAAATAGGGAAGAGTTGCTTTCTCCGTCTAACCCATTTGGGTTAAGACTGTACTCCTAAAACTATGGTCAATTTTAATTAAGTAATATTTACTAATAATAAGGAAAAGGAGTCGCAGAAACTATAAATAAAAAATTGTGTGAAAAAAATATTTTTATTAACAATATTAATCAAACCATACTCAGTAATCAGTGTAATCAGTTATAATTTAACCAGATGTCTATTTTGACTTATATGGTGCTAATTTCAAATTGATTTATACATAAGAATAATTTTAATATACTAAAATAAATTGTGACTCACATTGTATTGTTTTATTTCTTGTTCTGTACAATTTCATACTATTATCAAGAGAAATTATTCTTCTAGCTTTACTCAAAAACTATTAAACTTATGTACCAAGTATCAGACATAGAAATGAGAAGGTAATACAGTAGAACCTCGATAAGTTAAAGTCCAAGTTATCAAGGGTCTATGTTATAGAGGTTTTGGGCTCTGATTAGAAGGGAACATATTATTTTTTGAAGTTATAGAGGTTTTTAAGTAACCGAGGTTTGAGTTATCGAGGTTTTACTGTAATTATGAAAAGCAATATAAATCGTAAACTCTTATAGTTTATCTAAATAAGATAGATTAGTTTGATATCTGACGCATATGAAGTATCGAATTAAATTTGTATTTAGGTAAATACAGTACTTAATAGACAGGTATCCTAGTGAAAGAAAACGCATAGCGAACAATAATGAACTATCGATATTCGGTTTAAATAAAATTACTATTTTCTTTTAAACTAATTTGGAGGACAATTCTAGTATTGATTATAGTGTAGAGAATTTAGCGATGACAGAAATAATAGCGAAATCCAATTCGATTACGTACGGCTATAATAGTAATAAATATTTTTTTATTCTCATTATTGTAATGGTTCTGTAGGTCATTATTAATTTGAGAAAACAGTTTTTTCTTTTCTTAAGTTATAACTATGAATCTATCGATTCCAACTTCTTTAAGGATAAAAAACGAAAATTGATAAAATTCATAACTGATTTTACACAAACCATCCCTACTAAATTTCAAATGAATTGTCAAACTAATCTAAATTATTTAGACATACTAATATTGAATAATCAATTTCTTACATTTATTATACAAAAATACATAAAATAGCATATAAAATTTATCTTAATCGAAAGTACACACAAAAATTTAATGCATTATATATTTAATAGTCAGTCAACAAAACATACTTTAAAAACGCGCACACCTTTGACTAAACTATCGCACAACTGTTTAGTCTTGCTTTGGATCCTATGAGCTTATATGGAACACACAATTCTTGATTTTTAGTTGTGCAACTAAAAAGTTGAATGAGCTGCAAAACAATCGACAATCGCACAACGTCGTGCGATTGTTTAGTCAAAGGTGTGCACTGGTTCTTAGTGTATGGTTTTACAATATTCTAAATACACACAACCAGATTCATTCTATATCACTATTATAAAATTGTTACGTTTTATTACTTTACTCAGATATTATACATAATTGACTTTAGTATAATATATGTTATATTAAACTACAAAAATAAGACACAAACCCTCGAAAAAAATCAAAAAAATACAAAAACGATCCTTATGAGAAAAATAAGAACACAAAAGCTTTCAAAGAGTAAAACACATTTATTTTAGGTACAAAATAAGCAGCAGAGATCAGCAACCTTTTCTGACAATTGAAAAATACGACTATTGAAAAGATGTCTTGATAAGACTTGATTAGATTTTAAATTTAAAACAATATTAATATACAAGATTTTTCAGGTAAGCCAAGACTTTGGAAAATTCTTTGAAATCACTAAATTCATCTAAATGTTGCTGATCCCTGCATCAAACTTTTTAATATCATAAAAAAAAATCACAAAACACACCTGGATTTAAAACCATGATACATTAGTAGCTCCTAACTATCGTATATTTAATACGACAAACATATTTCACAGAAAAAAAAATTCTAACATTACTTTCTAAACACAAAAATAGCACTTATCAAAATATTTTTAAAACATAAAACAAGGTGTAAATCGTATAATTATTTACAACAGTAGTAGGAGCTTTGGTATTGTGATCACTTTATCACAATCCAATCATCAATTCATCACAATTCTTCATCATCAGTGTCGGAATCATCATCGGAGATGTCGTAAGCGCGCGTGGAGTTCGCCGCGGGCTTGTCTCGTTCTAATGAGAACGCGTACGACTCGTAGTCCATCACCTCGTCATCACTCAGGTGAGAATTACCTTCCACGAAACTCGCAAACCTGTTACCAAATAAATCATTTCAAAATTTTAGCCCAAAAACGTAATATAGTAAGAATTTTCTTCATAACTATATAATAATGAGAGAAATCTAGGCTATATGCGTCGCCAAGGAGAAGGAGGGTGTTTACCACCTCCTAGAAAAGCGAAAAATGTAAAAAAGTCCTCCAAATAAGACAAAACCAAGCCTACAACTTCACCTGGCAATGCCCTTATGCCCTTGATTCGAAAGATTGTTTTGTAGAAAAAAATGTCACGTATTTGTATTGGACACTATCGAAGTAAAGATTAAAGTCGGCAAATACTCGTAAAACATTTAATTTTAGAGTATTTTTAAATGTAATTTAATAATGGACAGTAAACTGTGTGTGGGGGGTGAGTGACCTCTTGGCGTCGCTGATCTTCATGATGACGCTCCACTGCTTGCAGTCGGGGCTGCTGCAGAAGTGGCGCAGGTCGTCGAGCGCGCGCTTGGTCTCGCGCGCGCCCTGCTCGTAGTACTCCTCGCTGGACAGCAAGCGCCGCGCGCGCGGGAACTTGCGCCGCCTCACAACACATTTTATACCATTTTTAAACTTAATTTTTTCCTTTTTCAAGTTATTGAAAGAAAAATGTTCGTACTGTTGAGGGATTTCTCAAAAGCCATTGCCTTGATGGTAAATTATAGATAACTCACCAATACCCCTGCAGCCGGTACAGCCAGGAGTGCGGGAAGTACTTGAGGGCGAGCGCCAGCACGCACAGCGCGGTCGACGCCTCGCGGTACTGGCTGCTGAAGAATGTTATTATACCACCTAACACCTGCAATACATTTATTTTATATAGCTGTTGCTCAAGTGAAATAAAAAAAAAAACTATGTGTTTCTTTAGACGATCCTTTACATCTATGCCAAATTTCACCAATATCCGTTCAGCAGTTTAGATTACAAAATCCATCTATACTTTCTCATTTATTCTAGTATGAAATATCATACTAATGCTATAAATTCGAAAGTTTAGATGGATGGATGTTTGTTAGAGTTTGTAGCCTAAACGGCTAATCGGATTTCGATAAAAATTTGTTATAGGTGTAGAGGATAGTCTGGAAGAACACATAGGCTACTCACTTTTGTTTTTTTTAATCCAAGCGGACAGCCAAGTCATTTGAAGACAAAAGTTGATATAAATTTATTAGTTATTCAAAGTGTTATGCTTAACCTAGCTTACTTTAGTTTACTTAGATCTTATAGGGTCAAATAAATATAAAATGAGAAGTCAGCGTTATTCCCATTTTTTTTAATAATGAAAACCCACCAGAAACACATTACACTCGTCTAAGTGAAAAATTTTCAGTATTTGGTAACTGAATTGTTGACAAATCTTTTACACCTTACAAGTAAATTATTACCCAAACAAATTCCATAAATTTCAAACTATCTTGTGTAATAATTTCAGTTAACAAAACATTATTTTTGTACAAATGTTGCAAAACTTACTTGTAATGTCCACATAACAAGATTCTTGCTTCTCTGGTTCTTCGGCGGACCAATTCTGTAGCAGACCACAAAACTAACGAACGTCACAACCAGCACGTACCAGAACATATACACTTGGTACGACATTAATATGCTCTGAACATTCTCCCATACTTGACGGAGTAGGTACACACCGACCGTCCAACCACCAATCAGTATGCCATATGTTAGCGTTTTCTGTAATAAAATATTCAATAAGAGACAGAATATATTAATTCATGGAATACATTCAGTCAAATTTCTATCAAGATTATCTCAATGTAATACAGGTAACTATTGTAACATTTCAGAGGTTTCATTACTTTTTAACATGAAATAGGTTGATTTTATGTACTTAATAGTGTAACTCATTCAGTGCCACCAACTGCCTCGGTGGCCACTTTTATACATCATAGTAGCAAAGTAGTGCTTATAAAAGGCAAAGCAAAGCCTCTTTTTCATACATTTTTATCAGCTGTTATATTCACTCCCTTCTTAAACATATCCTCTTTTTTAATATTTCTCAAATAATTAATAGATTAACTCACCCTAGGTAACAACTTGCTAAAATAATACACCAGCAGTAGAAAGGAAGCGGACACTCCGACCAGAACGCCACAAACATAGAAGAACACTGGATTTCCACTTAGTGCTTTTGAAGAGAATATTAAGACTAGACCTAAGGCCATTAGTAGGACTCTCCACATATCAACTCCTGTAAAACAAACATATATTTAATATCAGTATGGTAATTTTGTGTATTTTCTTGTTACTTTTTTTACCATGAATGCCAAACTATATACCAAAGTGTAAAGATAAACAAGAGATATTTCTAACTAATTGTCAAAGAAAAGTTCTAAAGGGAGTTGCTTAGCATACATTAAGTTGGAAAAACCTTCATAAAATTGACTTTTTAGGAACCCAATAAATGACTAATGAAGTAGAATGACACTTAAAACAATATTTTAAGCATTCACTTGATGTTACTTAATATTTTAGGTTTAAAATTAAAAATAAAAGCTTGGTTTTTGATATATTTTTGCACATATTCCTTTTAACCATTGAAAATAACTCACTCTGTATATTTAATTCAATACTATGACGATGTTTTGTGTCTATCACCATACATGTTGGTGTAAAAAGGTCAATTGAGATACTCTTATATGATTTCCTCTGGAAAGGATTGACAACAGCCCAGCCGTAGCTGTTCTCTGTGTATTCTTTGTAAACATCTTCTGGGTTATCTCCGAGATACTGGCTGAACTCATCACTTTTTATTTTTAAATTAAACTGAAAAAAAAAATATTGTTCAGACTGTTTCTTTTTAACTACTAAATTTTAACACAACAAATACTGAAATTAACATACTTTAACTGTCTGCCACAGAACAAATAAATTCTTATTACATCCACTGTAGCAATATATGTCAATTGTTTCTTTATTTGGTTGTATCTCCCTATCAATTATTGTAGGTCCACCCAGCCAGTGCACTGTAAATGTAAGAAAAAATTATATAATAGCGTTTTTATTATCTAGTACCAGTTTTAATTTTTATTTATTCTAAACAAACTTACCATCGTATGGTAATGAATTCACACCGCTTACAAATATAATTAATAATAAAAAGTTACGATAAAGCACAAAAGATTCCATGTTTATTCTATTATCGGTTTGACTTAAATATGATATAATTAAACTTATTAAAAAAAACTTCACATCACAATAGTTAATATCCTAAAATAATCACATTTTTAGCGTCAATACTACACTATCCGTTTATTTAGTTTTTTGTTGCTTATGATTTGCGTTGATGCTAATTGTCTCTTGTCCTCGATTTGTTTATTTTGCTTTAACTTTGACAACCTAAAATATAAACAGACATGCTTTTAGCTTTCTTTTTGTTTCCAGACAACGCGTACAGGTTCATGGAAACAAGTACATTAATAAAATATTGTCATCCTTTCGATTCCATGTAAAAGAAACAGAGATAACACTATTTTTTGCATATTATATTTAGACGGTGAAATCTTACTATAAGTTTGACTTGATTTGTCATTGATAGAACAATTTTGAAAAGCACAGACTACCAAAATAAAACAGAATATATAAGTTTTTTGTTTATTTTACATTTATTTTCTATAGTAACAAAAAGATTTAGTTTTATTTTTATTAATACAAATACAATCTATTTAAATATTTTCGACATGTTTTATAATATTTTTATAAATGTAAAATAATAAGCAAACTTTAAAGCCCTCTAGCGCCCAAACGAAGCAATAGGTAAGTTAGATCAAATCCTGATATTTTCGATCAAGGAATTTGTTGGAATTTGTGGTAGTACATTGTACACGTCTTTCCCGGTCACCTTGTAGATAGAACTTGGAAGAAATTGTTGTTTTTGAAAAACATATGCTTTCTTGTTTTCCTTTTTCATTCTTTAAGTACTTAGAATTTTTATGTTATTTATATAAACTAGTATTAATATTAACTAGATAGAATTTAAGTTTATTTTAGGAATTCATGGGTGTGGTAAGGGTTGTAGGTTTTTAAAATAAAACAGAGTATTGTTTAAATCTTATATTTATTTGGTAAAGCGTAACACAAACAATGGTCATGTAAGGCATTACAAAGGCACTCAAACTGTACATTGTACTTTATTATTATCTACACCTAGATATGACAGTTAAAAAGGAATGTATGGAATACTGTGAAGTAAATACTGTTCTAAATGGAATACTGTTTCATATGAAAAAGACATTTTTTTCAGTCTATATAGGAATGATTTTTTAAATAAATTTATCTCTGCCCCGAATCACAGTTCAATTACATTAAAAAAAAATATTTAAATCCTATATTGCATAAATCTACAGTAGAAATTATAAGGCATACATTTTTCTCCATTCTACACCCTAGTAAAAATATTATGGGAGTAGTATACATAAACATTTTTTAAATATTTTTTTTAGATGATCACATTCACTTTTATAAACCAATTTATTTTTAAACTAATAAAAAAACATAAATTTTATTAAAAAATGTTTTTAATATAATAATTATTGTATTTCATAAACTCCATAAATTCAAATTTATATCGTTAATGAAGCAAAGTTTCTAGAAAATGCGTACTATTTTTTAATGCAAAATAATTTCATTTTTGTAAATAAATCTCTTCTCTAACATCGTATAATAAAATCAAGACAGACAAATAATTTTAAGTCTACCATAAAATCATTAAACAATTTAGTTCTAAAAATATAGTTAAATTTCATTTGACTCTAAAATCATAGCCCAACCAGGAATATAAAAAAACCTCGTAATTGATGGATGGATGCATATGTTCTTGGTTAGGCTATACATTATACCTAAATACAGGACCTCTGAAGGCACATTTGAAAGCACTAATTTGTTTAAAATATATCTTAAATTTAATAAATAGAGTTAGAAACTTGTATCGATCATCTAAATCAATTCTGCTAAGACTGCTGGATTCTGTAAGAAAAATAACACGTTGTTTTAAAAAGTTAACAGTGGTGGAGCCCACTTTAACATCTTCGCACTGTAGGGACGACTTTCCCGGTGGTATACCATGACTACACAGAAAACAGCCGTGAAGTGAAAACAATGTAGGAATGGGTGAAGCTGCGTAAGAGTAGTAGAATGTGTGTGCATGGGGGATACAATAATGCTGTGTAATAGTGGGGAAATTTAACGGCTGTGTAAGCATGGAGGAAATTTTGCGATTGTGTAAGGATGTATCGGTTAAGAGTGGCGAAAGTGAACGGCGGCTGTGTAAGCGTGGGGAAAATTGTGCGGCAGTGTGTAAGGATGTGTTTTGCAAGTTTGAGGGAAGGTGTAAATATGTGTAAGGATGTGTTGTGTAAGTGTAACTATGTGTAAGGAGTTGTTATGTAAGTTTGGGGGAAGGTGTAACTATGTGTTGTATAAGTTTGGGGGAAAGTGTAACAATGTGTTGTGTAAGTGTAACTATGTGTAAGGAGTTGTTGTGTAAGTTTGGGGGAACGTGTAACTATGTGTTAGGATGTGTTGTGTAAGTTTGGGGGAAGGTGTAACTATGTGCAAGGATGTGTTGTGTAAGTTTGGGGAACGTGTAACTATGTGTAAGGATGTGTTGTGTAAGTTTGGGGGAACGTGTAACTATGTGTAAGGATGTGTTGTGTAAGTTTGGGGGAAGGTGTAACTATATGTAAGGAACTATTGTGTAAGTTTGGGGGAAGTTGTTAGTGTGTGTTAGGATGTGTTGTGTAAGATGGGGGAAGGTGCAACTATGTGTAAGGAAGTATTTTGTAAGTTTGGAGGAAGTTGTTAGTGTGTGTTAGGATGTGTTGTGTAAGTTGGGGGAAGGTGTAGGTGTACAGTAGTGTACCTGTCGAGCGCGCGGTAGGGCGGGCCGTTGTGGCGCGCCCACTCGCGCTCGAACTCGTGGTCGAGTATCTCTGCGCCGCGCTTGCGAGTCAGCCCCGTCTCCTCCAGGCTCAGCTCGCACATCTGCATGTCGTCAACACCTGCGACACAACACAATATCTATCACCTGTTACCTAAGGTAATAATAGTAAAACGAATAAATGAGTTAGAGGTGTCATCAACTTCTTAATTATTAAATATATTTTGTAGAATAGTGATCTCGTTCACTCCTTGTCTTCATATCGTTTTATTTCTACTATGGCATTTTTAATACAAAATCGAGGTTGATCTTTCTTACTGATTTCGGTTTGGTTAGGTACAGTCGCGGAAATCCGCGGTGTTCCACTTAAAAAATTGTAATAATAAAAATCAACGTCGTATATAATAAAAATCGCGTTGTCTAATACGTATAAAACATTTAAATGACTGTAGCTTTAAAGTTTGAAAGTGTGTGAAGTGTGTGTAACACTTACAGATTCGCTAGTACCTTGCTTGTGTAGTGTATTGTGTGTACGGGTGTAAGGGTGTAGGGGTGTAGGGGTGTAGGGGTGGTATGGTGGTGGCGTGTATTACCGGCCTGCAGCAGCACGGGCGTCTTGTCGGGGTGCAGCTCCATCTGGCGCGCGACGTAGCGGCCGTCGAAGTGCGCGTACCACCAGCCGCGCCGCTCGCCGCCGCCGGGCCGCACGAAGGGGATGCGGAAGTAGCGGTGCCGCGCGCCCAGCACCTCGCGCCCCGCCACGCGCGGCGCCTTCGCTGCAAACACAAACATTCATTTAACTCATCTAACGGGAATACGTAATTACAAATATTATAGGTAACTTTTGTATGTATGTATGTATTTGCTTTCGCCCGCGACTCCGTTCGGGTGGCATTAAAAAAACAAAAGTGATGTTTTCTTCCAGACCATCATTTACTATGCTAAATTTCATCGAGATCCGTTTAGCCGTTTAGGCTACAAACTCTAACAAACATCCATACCTCCATCTAAACTTTCGCATTTATTAGTGAAATTAAATAAATGAATTAAAAAGGATGTTTTTTTTATAAGCGCGAACATCGATATGTCCATCCACGCCCAGATATCCCCAATAGTAAAGAAACTACAGTCGCGTTGCCGGATTGTCAATGGTATGGAAGCTGATTTGATATACGGCGGATATTATGTCTATGTTTATCTGCACTAGTATAAGTAACCATTATTCAAAGAATTTTGTAAAATTATACGAAGTAGCAAAAAAATTACATTGAACATCAATGTTAAAAGTTAATTTTGCCCAATATTGGCGTATGTCTATCTCTTGTATCATTAGACAGGGGGAGCAGATAGCAGTGACCCGAGGCAGTAAAAGTCGTTTTTTGTCTCTTTCGCTCGTATAACATTAGACAGGGAGTGCAGATAGAAGTGAGCCGAGGGAGTGATAAGTCGTTTTTTCTCTTTTTCACTCGTATAACATTAGACAGAGAGAGCAAATAGCAGTGGGCTAAGACAGTGTGTCGTGTTATGCCTCTTTCATTCGAATAACATTAGACAGGGGAGCAGATAGCAGTGGGCTAAGACAATGTAAGTCGTGTTCTGTCTCGTTCACTCGTTTAGCGTTAGACAGGGACAGCAGATAGTGTACGAACCGGCCTCCATGATGGACTGCGGCGCGCGCTCCTGCTCGTGCATGGTTGTCTTGCGGGCGTTCTTTGCTTTCCACGCGTGGTATACCTTCAGTCGCCGGTGGAACTCGTGTCTGCAAGCCTGAAATAGTCATTTAAGTAATTTGAAAATTAATACATACTATGATTTAATCATTAACTAACAACAATAAGTTAATAAAAAATTTTACTGATTTCAACACCATCAAAAATCTACGTTATCGCTGAGTAACAGGCTATATTTTTAAATTCCACGTGAACGAAGTTACAAGCAACAATAGTATTAACTTAGACATTTGCGAAATTACAAACATTTACAAATCACGTGACACACGAACAGCCAATGAGAGCGCGCCACGTCATTACCTCGAGCAGTTCAATGTCGCAGGAGGTGTTGATTGTGTCGCGCAGCTCTGAGTACTTCCACTTGGAGAGATCGTACTTCTGCTTGCCCGCCATCGCCTGCTGCATGCGTACGCGCTCCGACCTGCATGACACTCTAATGTACTCCTCATTGTCATATATAAAGGTTCAATTTAGGTTAACAGAAGTACATGCATATTGCTGGTAAATTATTATGCTCTGAACTACTCATGCCACTCTAATTTACACCTTATTGTGATACGTTAAAGTTCAATTTGAGTTACAATGCTAGTGCAATATGAGTACGTGCAAAATGCTGTTAAATTTTTAGACACTGACCTACACATGCCAATCTAAGGTACTCTTTATTTTGATACGTTAAGGTTCAATTTGAGTTAACAATGCTAGTGCAATATGAGTACGTGCAAAATGCTGTTAAATTATTAGACACCGACCTACATATGCCGTTCTAATGTACTCCTTATTATGAAACATTAAGGTTCAATTTGAGTTAACAGTGCTAGTGTAATATTGCATGTAGCAAAGTGCTAAGTTTAGAGTTTAGACGATTTTCACGCGATATTCACATTGTCATTCCTTTTTGTTGCTAGGGACAGAGACAAAAGTATGTTTTTGTCTTGATTATTGTGCGACAGAAAGACATGCATTATACAAAGTTGTTTTTATGTAACTTTAACAGTGATCCTTGGGATCCGTTCGAACGTAGAGTAGATTATTATTGCAAATAAAATTGTACTTTCTACCATTGAAATAAGATTGATTATTCTTCATAAGGAAATAGCAAAAATAAAAATAAACCATATTTCAATATCATAAAGCTCAATTTTAATTGCGATAAAAATTCTGCTCTTCGTCACTAAGTAAACGGAGCATTTATTAGTTTTCATTGAATTATTAGTGGTTTTAATAATAGATTTAGTACTCTAAAAACTAGAATTTAATCATTACTAAAATTAGTAAATATAACCAACATAAACTACCAACTACGTGCAGAAAAAACAAAGCAAAAGCCTAATAAAGTTAGCAGAATTAGTTTGTTATACAAGAGTCCTCTTTCAATGTAACTTATCAAAGAATATAAGTTTTATTTGTTGTGTAATATACAATTAAAAGGTACAATTTGCTTATCCATGTTACAAAGTTATTGGACAATAGAAATTTATATACAGTAGGACCTCGATAAGTTAAAGTCCAAGGGAAACACAAAATATTTTAAGTTATAGAGGTTTTAAGTTATCATGAGTCTATGTTATAGAGGTTTCGGGCTCTGATGGGAAGGGAACATATTATTTTTTGAAGTTATAGAGGTTTTATGTTACTGAGGTTTGAGTTATCGAGGTTCTACTGTAATTACCTTTTTACATTTGCCCTCATTATATGTACAATCAAGGAATTACGCGGTGTTCCACTTTAAAAGTTAAAAACGCTTGAACATTTTGTACGCTTTAAAGACGCGCAAAAATAACCAATATGAAGCATATTTAGTCTGTACGAGAAAAGGTCGGTAAATCCATTGCGAATTGTTTTGTATTGTACCGGAATTTGCGTAAATATCTGCTACCTAATTGTTTTGTGTTGTTGCAAGAAACAAGAACACAATACAATAATTCTAAAAGTGGGTCACCGCGAATTTCCACGACTGTACAAATGGAAACAAAAATTTAAAAGGAAGGTTATTGGACTGGGAGTATTTCTTAATTGTATAGTTTGAAAGAGGACGTAAGCCGTGCGAAAGAGAAAACATGCATTGTCCATCTCGCTTGTACCTGTTCAACTTATTCTCCCCGTTGAGTGTGTCCAGTGATGGGAAACTGCGGCAGACATACAACATTACTGACACAAGCTATGTACAGGAAGACGCGTGCCGACACTATTATATACTTGAAAACGATCCTTATATAAAAATATTCACATAACACAACGTGAATATATACTATTATAGAAAAAAAAATGTATTTATGTATTTATGTATGTATTTAAATACATCTAAAAACTACTGGACAGATTTATATATTCAATATAGGAGATGTTTTTACTATTTTTTCAATTACTCCCGGAAGATGTCGCGAGCAACAACTAGTGTATCAATATAAATGTCCATATCACAATTCACCAAAACATTCATGTCTGTTTTTTGTAGAATTTTATTTCGTCTAATATTCTTATCGAATCCGAGACTAAAAATATCAAAATTAGTTTAAAAATTATTCAACAAAACTAAGCACACAATAACAGTACAATTGGACATATTTAAAATTTCAAATGAAATCTGCTTATTGATAATGTAGTAAACATGAAAAACCAATAATATAAGTGGTATTGAGGTTTTTACCTTCTAAGCTGTGGCGGGGATCCTTCCACGTGTCCGTTTGTCTCCTCAGCGAGTCGCATCGCCATCTCGTGGTCGCGGCGCTCCTGCTCCAGTCTATTACATCGTATTAATATTTGATTTTAATATGTTATCTTCTTTGTGTACTATGTACACACGTAGTAATGTGTATTTTGTACACACGTAGTAATGTGTATTATGTACACGCACAAAAAATAACACTTTGTATATTACACTAGTTTTGTTATGGAAAAACACCGCTTTTTTACGCAGTTTTAAGAAGGAAGCTAGAAAGGGTTACGTATTTAAATATTTCTTATTTATTTATATCTATTTTTATAGACACGTGATATGCACAGTGTACACATGTGGTAATGTGTATAGAATACTCATACGGTAATGTATTTTTAGATAACAAAATAATTGTAAAACGCCAGAATGGAAGGTAATAGGGACGGGACGTGTAGGGCAATGATCTTGTATTGGGCCAATTACTTCATAACAAAATAGAGTACACATTACAACATGTGTACAGAATACACATGTTGTAATGTGTAATGTGTACTGTGTAGTCTAATGTCCAGCGACCTGTCCCTGTTGTCCTGGTCAGCCTGCGCGGCCTGCTGGAGCTGGTGCTGCAGCAGGTCGGCGGCGGCGCGGTCGCGCTGCTCCTGCTGCAGCCGCGCCGCCTCCTCCGCCTTGCGCCGGGACTCCATCTCCGCCTTGCTGCACCACACAATGACATGCTCTTATTCGAAATATTTATAGTTTTACTAGCTTTCGACCGCGACTCTGTCCGCGTGGGATTATAAAAAACAATAGTAATCTATGTATTCTTCCAGATTATATATTAATGCAAAACTTCATCGAGATCCGTTCGGCCGTTTAGGCTAAAAACTCTAACAAACCATCCATCTAAACTTTCGCATTTATTAGTAAGATTACATTGTTCAATCCCCCACCAGTCCCGCAACATATGCATATAGTAAAATGTTCTTTAACTGTACCAAGTGTGGGTAGGAAATTAAAGTCCTCCACTGTGAGAATAAGAATGATTTACTGTTATTTATTATAGTTAGTTGTACTCACAGCCTGCGGTGTTCCTCTTCTTGTTTGATTCTCTCCTGCTCTTTCATCTTGGCCTCCTCTGCGGCGCGCATCTCCGACTCGATCTTACGCAGCCTCTCTTGTTCCTCCCTACCACAATACAATATAAATATTCATTTTAAATTGTACACAATCTTACACTGAAACGTCATTTAACTCTTAAATGCATAATTTTTTAATACCCTAAATTGAAATTGGTAGTAAATTGAACATAGATCAAGGGAAAAATAAAAAAAAAACCTTTTTTTAATCTATTGGGTGTGGAAGAGAAGACTGATGTATAAATGCATCATTATGCATTTAAGGTAAATATCTCATATTGTCTTAAACGCCATACTTAAACTACAAATATCTTTCAAATTTAGACATCATAAACGATACTATAGCCGAACAGAAGTATGTAAGATTCGTTATATTTTCTACTCTTTATAATATAGATCACAAAAGACATCTCAAATAAACCATTGTTCGGTATTTGAAATCATTGTTATTAGTATCAAATGTTTTAACACCCAGAGCCATTAAATCTTTACTAAGGGGATTCCTAAGAAAACGTTTAATTGTATTTTAACCTGTTCTTCTGGTCAGTCATAGCTTTCTGCAGCGCGGCCATCTGCGCCTCCGCTTCTTTGCTCAATTTGCTGTACATTTGCTCGATCTCAGCACGAGATATCTTCTCATTACGCTGAAATATATATAAAAAAAAATAGTAGATTTTCGTTAGTTTATTAACATTTCCTTTAACCATTCTGTTCTAGACTTATTTTTGTTTTGAATTCCACGTGGACGGAATCGCGGGATAACTAGTTTATTTTAGATTTCTACTGTCAAAAGACTTGTTAAAGGTCTGTTTTTGTCTATGAAAAAATAAGAAACGCATTTTAACACAAGTCATTGGCTTCTACAAAATTAGCAATAAAATTAAAAACGATTAATTATGACGCATCAAACATGAACATACAATAGTCAAACAAAATTCTCAGGATTTTTCCTTCTAACATTACTTTAAAAAAATAAGATTAAAAAAAAAAACAATAAATCGTTAAATCGTAACTTATCATAGTCTACATATGAACCATTAATGTAATAATTTCACCTTAATCAAATCGCAAGCATTTCTAATAGAATTCCTTAGATTTTCTATATTCTTCTTAGCGGTGTCCTTTTCTTTGTTCAGTTGTGCTGTGACTGACTCCATCTTCTTGAGGCTGTCTTCTATAGCTTTGATCTTCTGTATTCCGGAGTATCTCGGCTTGTGCTGACGACGCACTAAATATCCTCGTATCGTCTTTTGTAGGAGAACCAAACATTCTCTACGGTATAGGATTTTATTCTTCACTGAAATATTAGAAAATTATCTTATTAGTGTTTTAAATACATTTTATTTTGAGCATGTTAATACTTTTGTGCGGTTACTGTATGACCATTTGATAAATCCTACAGAAATATTCTACATAGACTTGTAAAATCAGACTTTCTATACTAATATAATGAAGCGTAAACACACACTTTTTAGTTGCCTAAGATGTCTTTTCTGTATATTTGTATTTATTGAAATAACTCAAAAACTACTGGACCGATTTTAAAAATTCTTACACTTTAAGAAAGGAAATTAATCTGTGAGTTACATAGGTTATATTTCATAATTTATTATAATAATATTATTAATGCGAAAGTTTAGATGGATGGATGGATGTTTGTTAGAGTTTGTAGCCTAAACGGCTGAACAGATTTCGATGAAATTTGGTACAGATGTAGAGGATAGTCTAGAGGAACACATTTGCTACTACACATAGGTTAATTCCGCAGCTAGTAGTATAAAAAAGGTTACATTTGATAACGGAGAGCGCCGCGAATATGGAGCGCCTCCAGCGCGACTTGACGAGCCAGGCCAGCACGCTGCCGACGATGGCGCGCAGGCTGTCGGGCTCGGAGCGCATCATGGCGTCGAACTCGCTGTACTTGCCGGGCCGGAAGAACAGCCGCGTCACCCCGAACTTGTACTCCTTGTCCGACAGCCCCAAGCTGTGCACCATCGCCTGCGCACACACAACTCTCTACTACCGGAAGTTCTGTTCGTAATGCGGTAATGCTATCAATAAATACGTGCACAGGTATTACAGAGTTATAAATCTTTGTGTATGTGCATTAAGTACAAAATTAGGCGACTGTCCAAGTATAAGTGTACAAGTGTTAATATACATGTGTGAGCGTACAAGTGTCAATATATAAATGTCGTAGTACAAGTGTCAATAAGTAATTGTGAGTATACCAGTGTCAATGTCTAAATGTCATAGTACAATTGTCGCAATACAAGTACCAGTATACAAATGTCATAGTAAGAGTGTCAATATACAAATGTCGTTGCACTAGTGTCGGTATAGAAATGTGGGTGTACAAGTGTGGGTATACAAGTGTGGACGTAGAAGTGCGAGTGTAGAAGTGTGGGTGTAGAAATATGGGTGGAGAAGTGTGAGTGTAGAAGTGTGGCGTACCTCGCAGAAGAGCCGTGGGGAGAGTTTCTGCAGCTGGTGCGGCAGGTGCGCGGCGTACATGGCGTGCAGGTCGCGGCAGTGCGCGCGCGACGGGTAGCCGTGCTGCATGAGCGCCAGCACGGCCGCGGTGCCGGAGCACTGCAGCTGCGCCAGCACCAGCGCGCCCTCCACCACGCGCCCCTGCATGCGGCTGTTCGGCTTCACGCACCGCACGAAGTTCGTACCCTGATAAATGCAATTGTTCTTGTTCATACAAATATCCTCTAATCTGTAAACGATTTTGAGGTTATTTTTAATTTTTATACAATCATTATTAACTTTACATTGTATTTTTTATGATTGTGTATTTTCAAGGTTATTTTCGTTTCTTACTGCTTCATTTGTGTAAGGCAGTTAGATAGTAGATCGCATTGTATTGTTAATTGTTCGTAGGATTTGTTGGTAGCTTGCGTTATTATCAAAAAGTAATTATTTTAAAACCAAGTAAATCGTTTTATTAAGACATATCTGTAAATTATTTATATGCGTAAGGTATGAAAACAATACAGCTTATTGTCTGATTTATTTGTATTTTTACGTACATTGCACAAGTAATTTAACAGCAAGGCATTACTTATACCTGATATCTCCTTTCTTAAGAAAAACCCTATAGGTTTTTTATCTCTACTAAATGAAAATACTTCCTTATATTAAGTTTTAAATGCTTACGTTTTCCTTAAGTTTGTCCATGAGCTGTGCGAGCTGCGCTTGGAACTTGGCGCCGACGGAGATGAAGTTGAGTTTTCCCTTGGCGTTGGTGTTATCGCTGGTGAGGAACAGCTGCTGCACCAGCTCACTGCATGACTCCTGGACGAGGAACTCCAGGGATGCGTGGAGAGCATCATTGTTCTTCTCTATGAACTGGTTCTGTGATAAACCAATATTAAGATAGGGATGAATCGCATGTAACGAGCACGTTAGTTATGAGTGTACCGGTAGAGGTAGACATAGAAAGAGATGGATTGCGTGGAAGGTGACATGAAGATGAATGGAGTGATGACTGAGATGACGTATGATAGAGTTATGTGGAGGACAAAAATCTGTTGCGTTGTCTGCGGTAGTGGTATTAAATTATGACGATGATTAAGTTAAGTTAGGGATGAGAAACTACTGGCACAGCGTGGCACAAGACTTATTTTGGGCACGTCGATTTAAAAAAAAAAAACACTACAAAAAATTGAAGTATTATAGATGCATAGAATAGCCGTAATAATCGTAGTCAAAATTATTCAAAGCCATGTCTAAGACCGCATTAAACATTTCTTTAAAAAAGGGGAGGTCTAATGAATATTTTAGCTACATTAATGATGAACTTACCGTATTATAGCAGACGGCTCCAGCGAAATGTCTCAAAAGGAACCCCTCATCATCTCGCAGTATGCGGTGTGCCTTCAGACGAGACGCACGCGGCACTTGCAGACGAGAACTGGACATATTATATATTTTATTACTTGATTGAAAATGAACCAAAAAGATGGTAAACCGACATAAAAATGTCTTTTAGTTTAAACTGCTGTACTAATTCTAAAATATTCTTTTACACTAAAATAGAGGCAGGTAGGTACAGGCAGATAGGTAGAGGCATGTAGAGAGGTACAGGCATGTAGATAGTTAGAGGTAGGTAGGTAGGTAGGTAGGTAGAGGAAGGTAAGTAGAGAAAGGTAGGTAGATAGGTAGAGGTAGGTAGGTAGAGGAAGGTAAGTAGTTAGAGGCAGGTAGGTAGGTAGAGACAGGTAAGTAGGGGTGGGTAGGCAGAGGTATACCTGTGCGCGTTGCCGCCGAGCAGCTTGTGCACGGAGTGTGTGAAGTGTCCGAACTCAGGCTTGGGCAGCTTCGACTCCTCGTCCAGAAGGTGGAAGATGCCGTGGTTCTTGCTTTCTATCAAATCTGTACAAAAAATAATAGTCATCTAAAATACTTAAGCGTACATGTCACGTTAAATAATTCATAAGGAACTTTTATACGAATATATATTATTTTTTTGTATAAAATTTAATGACAAGACATTTTTATTAAATCGATGTACTTGCTTTGTTGACAACGAAAAAAAAAAATTAAAATTTTTATCTGTACGCAAGCCGGCATTTGTTCCGCTTAATTTCCGAAACGGTTTGTCCGTTTTCAACGGGACTTTCACTAGAAAATAGCAAATATACTTGGGAATGTTATAAACTATTTCTTTTTCAGCTATCGCTAGTTTACCAATACAATCCTGGTTATCAACGAATCGTATCTCCGGTACATTGAGCCCCTCGCGCTTGTACAAATCCTGCTCGTTCTTGAGGATGCGCTCGTTGAAGAATTGCTGCAGCTTCTCGTTGCAGTAATTGATGCAAAACTGCTCGAAGCTGTTCTGCTGGAAGTATTCTGCGTGGAAAAAAAACGTTACGACCTTTAGATTAGTATAATTGTAATCTAGTAATAAAAATACTGCTTTAGTTCTTACTAATAGCATAAATGCGAAAGTTTAGATGGATGATTGTTAGAGTTTGTAGCTTAAGCTGCTGAACGATTTCGATTGAATTTGGTACAATTGTGGAGAATAGTTTGGAAGAAGACATAGGACGTTTTTCCTTCTACGCGAACGAAGTCACGGGCGAAAGGTAGTTTATAACTTGTAAGACTAAGCTGTCGCCCACGACTCCGTCACCGTGGAATTAAAAAAAGCAGAAGTGAGAGGCCTATATGTACTTCCAGACTATCCTGCCTGACTAGCCGTTTAGGCTGCAAACATCCATCCATCCATAAGTGTTTACTGACCGAATCCCGCGATGTCGAGTACTCCGATGTAGTACGCGGAGGCCTGGAAGGGTATGCTGGTGTTGATGCGGTGCACGATGTAGTCGAAGAGGCGGCTGTACACCGCCTTCGCCAGCGCGTCGCGCGCGTTCGTCGCCTCGTGCGGCTTCAGCGGCACCCTGACACACACTCACTTAGGGATCCCCTTAGGTAACATTTATAGGGATTATCATAAACTAGCTGTTGTCTTGGAATTATGCGCATCAAATAAAAAAAACTTCATTTTATTGTTTACATTTGTGAAATATCTGTTACCATGGCAACCTTACTTCTTCTATTGGTTTGTAGTTTTGTCCCTTTCCCGCATGGCGTTGATTATTAAGTTATTTTCTCCCAAGTTTAATAGCGTGAAAATATATAACCCAAAACTTGTCGTAAATGTAGGGCTTTTTATTAATAAAGAATTATTATATATTACACGCTGTGAACTTAGGGGTAAATAAAAAATAAAAGAACCTTCACGTGGAAAAGGGACCATAAACTACAAGCTGCCAACATTAAGAAAGCAAGGTGATTATAGTAACGGTAATTTTGACATTTGCGATTGAGAATTTGACAAATGTAAACAATAAAATAAAGTTCACCGTCAAATCCACTTTTCCTTTCCATCCTTTCGTCCTAAGAATAGGATGGAAAGGGAAAGGGAAAGGGAGTAGAATTAGGTTTCCGGCACCACACTCAGTAGACAAAACGCGGAATTGCTTCCACTTCACGTCTGTTTTCTGTTGTATAGACCAGCCGGACCATTTGTGCGATGTTAAAGGCTGTATCACTGTTAAGGACGAAGATGCGGATAGCATAAGAACAGCTAGTTAATATAAATGTAAGTTTGTGAATGCGGTACATGATAGCGGTGCCCTTGGCGCCGCCGCGCGCGCTCTGCATGAGGCGCGAGACGAGCGCCATGCGCAGCTCCGCGGCGTCGACGCCGAGCAGACGTGCGGCGGCGGCGAGCGCGCGCTGCGACTGCGGCGCCACGCTGCAGCCGCCGCGCGCGCCCCCCTCCTCCTCGAAGCTGACGTTGCCGAGGTGCAGCACGCCCGCCACCACGCTGTACACGCCGCGTTGCTCCTCCGCGCTCAGACCCACGCGCGACAACGCCTGCACAACATTCATATCAACACTCTATGAATTATATTCATCATAGAGTAGTTATACTCATCATAGATACAAACTCATCAAATAGTATAATCATATTATTATAGTCTTAATTAATCTTACTAATGTTATAAATGCGAAAGTTTAGAAACGTCTGAACGGATCTCGATGGAATTTGGCGTAGACGTAGAGTATGGTCTCGAACACATAGGCAACTTAGTTTTTTTTTAATTCCACGCGGACGGAGTCGCGGGCGAAAGCTAGTTATAGTATAATATAATTATACGCTTTGATGAGTTTATCGGTGTTAACTGATTTACTTCTCTTTAGTTTCTGTTAGAAAAAGTGTCATACTGAAAGCCGTGTTGTTAAAATGTAGTTTTTATAGTTTCATTCTTGCAAATAAAAACTTACTGAATTACTTACTTCTTACTTCATTTGCTCATACTATACTAGAATATATATCTATACATATAGAGAGAAAAGATTTGTATTTATGTATGTAATGTATAGTTGAAATAACTCAAAAACTGTTGTAGTTTGTCTCGATACCTATTGTTTCTCGCGATTTCGCCCGGGTGTAATTTAAAATAAAATAGTAAAAACATAGCCTATGTTACTCAATCATAACATAGCTTTTTAATGGTGTAAAAAAAAATTCAAATCGGTCAAATAGTTTTTGAGTTATTTCAATACATACAAAAATATAAATCTCTTCTATTTTACATATGCATGTATATCTATGTAATATTAGACGGAGTCGCGTGCAAAAGCTATTTTTTTATATTCCTGCCAATATACCTGATGCAGCCTCTGAAAGTCCTCGACATCATCTAGTATGGGATCTCGTAGACCACCTTTAGCCAACTGCTGCTTGCTTTTCTGACTCGCGCTGATCTTCTTCTCAGACTCCGTGCTCGTGAAGTACTGGGTGCAGCCGTTCTTCAAGTACTAAACAATAACTTAAGTTAAAAACGTGAATGGATATACGTAGCTAAAATTCATCACCAGCTCACTATACATCTCCACTGAGGGGAAACCTTCCCCTAAGTTAAGGGTGACTAGGCCTTAGTCAACCATGCTGTACTTCGGATTGAGTTCACACACATCTTTGAATTCCTTTACAGATATGTGCAGACATCACGTTGTTTTCCTTTTTTTTATAAAAAAAGGGGGCAAACGAGCGGCGTGAACACCAAGGTGGTCACCGTAAGAAGGTCTAGTAAAGTATTTACTTTTAGACAACTTATTTAATTGATACTGTCGCTTTAAACTCAGAGCAACACTTCTCGTCCAGAGCCAGGTTGCGCGCCAATATACATACTTGTAGTGACATTGACAGCTGTCAGCTAGGGACGTGACGTTTGCCGATAATCTAGAGTTGCGCCAATTCTATAGCACGGTACTAATTTTGTTCCTAACAGTACATATGAAAGTCTAAAATCGTAAATCATTGGTACAGCGGGATTAGAACCCAAGACCTGTAGATTACAAGTCAAGTGCTTAAACCTATAGCCAGCGACGCTTCGATAAATTAATGTGGAAATTTGCAAACAGAAATAGATTAAAATCTTAATTTTGGAAGTCTTCTTACTTGATAATCATCAGGTTTGGTGATCTCCAGCGCAGTTCTCAACTCCTGTGGGGCTCCAGCACACAGCAAATAGAAAACATGGTAATTCCTCTCTTCTGCGCTCTGCGTGCAGATTCTTGATTTTTCTAGAAGATAGTGTGAGATGTGTCCCCCCACTACTTGGTATTTAGCATTGAAATGAACTTCCATAAACTTGCCGAATCGGGAGCTGTTGTTATTTCTTGTTGTTTTCGCGTTACCAAAAGCTTCTAGGATCGGATTAGCTGGAAATTAGAATTTAATAATTAAAATAGCTGGTTTAAGTTAATATTTATAAATTACATAAAATGGACTCAAAGAACTCTATTTCAGAGATGATAAGATCCAAATTCAAATGACCATGAATATCATTATGACGTCAAAGGTCTGTAATTAGAAAAACATTTCAAATCTATTATGTTGAGGAAACATTTACAAAATGCTTTCATTAATGCAATAAAAATTAAGAAATATATAAACTGGACATAGTAAACATTTTTTCACCGGTACTTCCTTTGAAAGGTACTATGTTATAATAGTTGGCAAGTACGCAACCTCATGTCCTTATATTGACATGTTATAAAACATTTAAAAAAATTATAATTATAGATAGATGGATGTTTGTTAGAGTTTGTAGCCTTAACGGCTGAACGGATTTCGATGAAAATTGACATAGAGGATAGTCTGGAAGAACACATAGGCTACTCAGTTTTGTTTTTTTAATCTCACGCGAACGGAGTCGCGGGCGGAAGCTAGTTAATTATATTACACAGATATCATTAGATATTATGTAAAAATGTCTCAAGTGAAGTGACCACTTCCTTTATATAATTTTTTAATGTCTTTGCTTTTCTTAAACTTACACTAACTTTTAACACAATTCACAAATATATACATACCGTCTAATATTTTCTGTTCGACAGGCCCCGCGCCCTTCGCCCACAAGTCGCACAGATACTTGAGTATGTATTTAGTGGACTCGGTCTTGCCCGCGCCAGACTCCCCCGACACTATGATAGACTGCGACTGCTTGAACGACTTCATATCACGAAACGCTTTGTCCGCTACAAAGTGATTAATGGTCTTAGATTTTTGCCACACGTGTACAAACGTGTTACAATCTTTGAAAAAAAAAATAATACGGCTTTGTAAAGTCAGCTACATAATTACAAGTACAAAATATAAAGCTTCTATAGGCCTTTGGTTTTAAAATTACGTATTCCTCAATACAATGTTTTCTTAGTCGGAATATTTTTGAAACCGAAAGTATATGAAGTTTTACAAATGTATGAATATTTATGCAGCTAACTGTACAATTGTTCTAGTAATGAAACTTAAAATACAGGATTACATACAAGTACAGGAATATAAGATTTTCCTTTCACAAATTCTGCTGGATTAGTCAGTTTTATACCGCTGTTTAGATCACTGTCATTTACACTGTACTCAATTATATCCACTTTTGCAATTTACATTGAATAATTTACGGTATACGCATTGGAAGACTACCAGTTGCTTGCGTAGACAAGAGTATAGTTCTACAAGGATCTGGCAGTTGGAAATTTTCTGAACGAAGAATGTGATCTTAAAATATATTTTAACCAATGACGGAGCGGCAACAGCACCGGGTAAAATTAGCAAATAGTTCGAGAACATGGGGGAATTTTAAAAATGGTGATAATTTTTGCCTTACTGGTAACTCTAAAAACTAATAAGTGTCCATACAATGTCAAAAACTGCCATAAGATCTTTGTACGTATTTATATGTTATACCTATAGCGAAGACATGAGGCGGCAGTTCTCCAAGCGAGCGACCTTGATACTTCTTGATAGTGGCCGAGGAGTACAGATCCGGGATATCTTCGTACGGGTTCACCGCCAGCAGAATATTGGCTACGTACGTCTGTGGAAATAATATTTTAACAACATAATTATCAACATAATATTATGTTTGCGTTCGGAACATCTACGGCTCAAATCCATGTGGGAAAGGGACCATAAACTACAAGCTGCCAACATTAAAGAATCAAGATTATTGTGGTAATGGTAATTTTGACATTTGCAATTGAGAATTTGACAAATGTCAACAATAAAATAATGTTTTTAGAATTGTACGCGAATGAAGCCGCACGGGAACAGCTAGTTATATATTTGTCATTATTTTACGTTGCGGATATTAAGACATATCAAAGTAATAGACTCAACCTGAAATATATTGTAAAATCGAAAATCGTTATCTTTGCTTTGGCCTCTGAGTCACGATTACTTGTCACGTCTAATCTTATCGTATATGAATATTAAATAAACGTTAGAAAATGCTTTCTATACATGTCCAGGTGTGCTCGGAGCCTTGTATATAATCCCCTTATATATAAGTACAGCCTAATTTGTATTAGTCTATGCAGAGATCCAATTAACTGTAACCTTTAACCTACACTGGACAAGCATCTCTTGTAACGAAGTGTTTACTTGTAGAAGAATATCGTTGTGAAAATAAATGGACATCGTTTTTGAATTGGAGTAAAAGGTACAAAGGTTTCAAAGTGGTAAAGCCCGCTTTAACATCTTCGCACGATTGGGCCGGCTCGCCCGGTGTAATACCACGACCACACAGAAAACAGGCGTTTTGTTTGATGAGTGTGGTTCCGAAGGCCTAATTTTAGTCCCTCTCCCTTTCAACCCTTTTCTTAAGAAAAAGTGATGGGAAGGAAAGGTAGATTTGACGGTGGAGGAGACACATAGGAAGGGGAAATGTCCTCTTTATGCGAGTCACCTCCTTCGTCTATTAAGGGTAGGCAACGCATCTGCGATTGCAAATGTTTATGGGCAGCCGTCGCTTTCCATTTCAGTGGATTCAGATGGCCGCTTGCTCGTTGGCCACATTATGTTATAAAAAAAAAATCCCATACAAACAACAAATCTAATAGTAAATTAAAAATAATTTTAACTAAGAAAATTGTCAATTTCAGTACAATATAAAAATAGAACCCCCCAACCTTAACTCAGCCATTAACTGCAGATTTTTCGCATATCAAATATGGGTACATGATACGGTCATTGAAGTTTCCAGCAAGACTTCGCAATCTATTGTGTTTCTCACAAAACACTATTCTAAGTGCGGACAGAAACAAATTGTTTCGCATTTATTGTTCTCCGGTCTCACGAGGTAAAGACGGCTAACTTAATTTAACTTACGTATTGCTAACATCGTTTCGTATGACATCATTTATAGATACTAATCGTTATATTACACACTAGGTTTTGCCCGCGACTCCGTCCACGTGGAATTAAAAAAACAACAAAAGTAAATATCCCATGTGTTCTTCCAGCTTATGTTTTACATGTATGCCAAATTTTGTCGAAATCCATTCTGCCGTTTAGGCTACAAACTCTAACAAACATCCATTCATCTAAACTTTCGCATTTAGAATATTAAGTAAGATAGTAAGATTATAGAGCTTTTTGGTAAATGAATGATTCTCTTTTTATTTGGTAGTTTCCAAATATGACTGAGCATCGACAGCGTAATCTGAAGGTAAAATATGCAATCGCATTCTAATATCGTACTAACTAGCACTTAGGTTTTAAAAAGTAACTTTTAGAATGTCAGTAAACGAATTCTTTGCATTTGCTTGTCGTGTCTATATTCCATGAATATATTTCCAGTAAAAATAACAAAGAAATATGAACTTGTAAATGTGTGTTGTGATGTCACAGTTAGAGCGGGCGAACGCCTTTAACTCAAGTATCGCTCAGCTGTTTGTGGTTACTTTAATTCCTATAAATTTATATGAAAGGTGTGGACACTACTCGACTTTTAGTTGTGCAACTAAACAGTTGAATTAGCTGCGAAACAATCGACAATCGCACATCAGTTGTGCGATAGTTTAGTGAGGTGTGCGCCCTCTCTAAGTGTGCAATGTAGTTACAATCGATAGCAAAGCAAAGTGCGTCCTCAAGGCTGAACCGACTGGCGCATGACTCACACCTTGAGACAGACATAGGGCAGTGACAACAGTAGAACTACTTCATATGAGTTGAAAACATTATATTTTATGGGCATGTTATGAGGGATGAATCGTATTTACCAAGAGGGATGTTAGTTATGAGTGTGGTACACCGGTAGTGGTAGACCTAGAAAGGATGGATTGCGTGAAAGGTGACGTGATGATGAAGACGGATGATGAAGTTATTTGGAGGACAAAAATCTGTTGTGCCGACCCTACGGGAGTAGGATGAGGTAGGGAAGATAATGATATTATATTTTATGAGATGCTTCCATTAATACTAGGTTAAACCGATTAGAACTTTCAAATAATGATAAATAACGAGACAAATTATCGAAATAAGTTTAATAAACATTACGAAGGACATATTTGTAAGTAGTGTGTCTTTACCGTAGCGGTGTTTGATTTTTTTACAATGGTTTTAATATAATTTGCGTTTTTCAATTAAGTTGATAAATATTGTTTAATTTCACAAAAACAGAACGTTGACAATGCAATATAGAAGAATTGAGATTCCTCTTTTGAATTCGGTTTGAAACAGAATGTGTACCTATGGTTAAATTACGTAAGCTAAAATGATTCTACTGATATAGGCTGTGGTATAATTTACTTACGTATATCTTTTTCTTTTTGTAGCGGCATATTATGTTGTTTAGCAGTGTAGCCTCGTTCAGGAACATAAGTTCGCCTGAAATGTTAACACCATTGTTTATTGTAAAAAAATTCAATGAAAATGTTTATAAAATAATTAACACCAGAAACTGTCTGTTTACTTTTGTTTCATCTTATTCAATGATAAGTAAAATAAATAAAATTGATTTCAATTCTCACAGTTTAATAACAAATCTTTGAAAGACACTGTGTCGTAATTTTTGTGTTTTAACAAGCTACCAATAGATGGCGGTAAGATTGCTGTTTAGGCACTTTATGCAAAACGATTTATAAGAAATCTTAACTATGAAGGTATTGATTTACTGTACAATAGGTGCGCGTGACCAAGCGAATTACGACAATAAATATAAATTTATTTGACCCCATTGTAATCATAGTTTTCGAAACGATTAAAACTGTAGTTCCACAGTGCAAATACGGGTTGTGTTGATTAACTGAACAAGAACTGTAGTTGAGCAACAACATAAAACAGTAATCACTTCAGTTTAAAGCATCAATGTTGACAGCAATGGTCGTAACATAATAGAAATCATAAGAAACATAGTTTGTCTTAATACAAAACCACACACATTATGGTAGATCAGGAAAGGCACGAGGAGATTGGGCACTATCCTAGGGTTTCTTCACGTCCGTGTAGAGATTCGCTTGCAAACGTATCCTGCGTCCCTATAAATAATTTAAGAGTGTCTTGGATCAACTTACAATTATCATCGACTTCCTTATCAGGGTCGCCAGCAGGTAGTATATCGTCGAAGCTGGCAACACGGCGTGCGTGCTTGCTGTCCAGAGGCACGACATCTGCCTCCTCGCCGAGGAGTTCGTGCAAACGAGCCAGCACGAAACCCTCGGAGCCTTCACGCACCCACACCAGCTGCTGTTCCAGCGTCATTGTCACCTGAAACGATACAATACATGTGAGAACAAACAGTGATAAAGCCTATCGACCGATATAAAAAATAGGGTGACCATAGATTGTCAGACGATGATCCAGACTACTTCTGGAAGGGAGAAGCTACCAGTAATAAGGTCTTATGCGAAGTAGTCTTTATATTGTGGGGAACAGCTACCCTAGCATATTACTCTTCTCGGAGAAGGCATAATTGTTTTCGTTCATGAGTTACTTTATTTTGTCGCTATGAGATCAAACACTCGTTAATGTCACAATGTCTTTGAAAACAGTTGTGTACAGTATGGTGTTTGAAAATGAGTTTCATGTAACCGTTTTCTATCACTTCTTTTGTTTTTTATGCATAATCCAATTATAAATGCTGGCTGGTAATCTGTAACTCTTGATGGTTACCTTTTATGGCGTAATAATGTTTAATGTAAAACAGACATATGAATGACAACTATCGTTACTGGAGTTTCCGCAACGCCTACACGGTTAAAATATCCATAACACTCCATACGTCATAATCAGTCATATCAGTATGTCTTTAGTAAGATTTTTTTCTTCTATATTCATGTTTCATTGATTACGCAAGTATGCAAACTTATTTAATAAAATTGTTGCATTTAACTAAATAAGTAAATATAGGTTAGTATCAAATTCGTAAAATGGCCGCACAGGTGTGCTACAAAAAACCATAAACACGTTGTTTATACTTTTTACACAGCTGAATTCGGTACATTACATCAAATAAGATCGCGTTACTGGCAATAACAAAACTTCACTTTCATGTGAGGCGTCTCGCGTGGTTGCGTAACATGGCACTAGTGTTGTGCGTTACGCTCGTTGAGCTAACGGAACCGGAAACAAGGCTAGACCAGTCTGTTAGCGTAAAATATATGACTGACATACCAAGTAAAAAAACAAATCTTACTAATATTACAAGTTTATATGGATGGATGTTTGTTAGAGTTTGTAGCCTAAACCGCTAACCGCATCTCAATGATATTTGGCATAGACGTAGAGGATAGTCTGGAAGAACACATACTCACCTTTGATTTTTCTACTTCCATGCGGACGGAGTTACGTGCGATAGCTAGTGATATAAAAATGGTTACGGTCTGATTGCAGTGTTTACGTGCTACATCCTTGACAATGCAATACATAACACGTAAAATAAAAAATCTTAAAATTAATTAATTACTAATAGGAGTGGTCATTACCGTAGTACCACGAATAATCTTTTCATTTTTGGATTCGGTTTTGTCTTGTTACTATGTTATTTTGCTATAGTTATCCGCAAGCAACAAACAAGCACTTAGATTCAAAGAGAAAGCAAGATTAAAGATAAAAAAAAACAAGAAACAAAACACGATCGGAAGCGAAATATTGTCACGTAGAGGTAAATGGCGTACAATAAAAATGAAACACGAGTCGCCTCGGAACTGTGTTACATATTAATAGAATAAAATCACGAGAAGATAAAAAAAAACTATTACATAATAGGAAGTAACATAACTCTATCACTATATCACTCTCTTACTTTTGGGAAAACAGAGATATGATACTTTTGATTTCCAATTTACGGTTACCCCGTTAACCTAACATGCTATCTGCATTTGTTTTGGTCCTACGTTGTCATAGCAACGATAAATTATTAAAAAGGGGTAGACAACTGGCACAGGATAGACGGCGATGTTTATTAAGCAAGCAAAATACAATCAAACACAACAGAGTAAACAAGAACCAGGTCATTGAAATAATAAAAAGGTATGAGGGAAAATCGAAACTGGTACTGGCAATGACAGTAGCGTGGATAAACGCAGCCACGCGAATTATACGGTCCAGAGACGGTCGTACAACGGACACCATAATACTGCTCTGATGGCTTTTAAATTGTTTTATATGGATATGATGACTGTATTTCTTATAAGAAATAATACGAAAAAAATTCTAGAACTTAAAAACATTAATTTACATTCCCTTCTTGTACTTAATCTCTAGAAATAATTGCGTGCATATTTATAAACTAAGTTAAGAAACAGAAATAATCCGTTTAAAATAAAAGTCATCATCATCCTACTCCCGTAGGGTCGGCACAACAGGTTTTTGTCCTCCAAATAACTCTATCATATGTCATCTCAGTCATCACTCCCTTTTTGATCATGTCACCTATCACGCAATCCATCCATCTCTTTCTAGGTCTGCCTCTACCGGTGTACCTCCACACTCATAACTAACGTTCACCTTGTAACATGCGACTCATCCTTCCATATAACATGACCATACCATGCTAACCTTTTACTTTTTACCTTCTCTACCACTGGAGATACTCTCAAACTTCCTGTAACATATTCATTTCGTATCTTATCCTTTCGTGTTACCCCACAAATCCATCTTAACATTCTCATTTCTGCCGTCTAAAATAAAAGTGTGATAAAACATCTACTTTCTCTGTAGTCCTAGTTATTTATTATTATCATACATATTATCATATTCATTATCTTTAAATAACTAATGTACTTTAAATATATTTAGTTACTGAAGGACTGTATCATTTTCTATTTAATAATAACCGGAAACTAATAATAGTTCATCATATTCTTTTGAAGAAGCATTATAATAATCGATATGTTTTGATATGAACACGATATCTATATTTTTATAATCAATACGGATATTTTTTCCATTATTTTAAGATTACAATCAACACTTTTCATACAATTGTCGTATTAAATAACTCGTTGGATTTATAAATAAAATTAGGTTTAGAGAAACAATAAACAATCTTTATACAAGACATAATAATGAAAATCAAGGTCAGGAGATTAAATATTTAAACATACAGCATCTGCAATTGCGGGTGTCTATAGGCAGCGATCGCTTTCCATTTCGATGGATTCAGGCCGCTTGCTCGTTTGCCGCCTTATATTATAAAAAAGGAACATATAATATACATAACTCAATAAGTTAAGCGCAAATAGCTTAATGGTTTGGGGTACAGACTTCCGATCTTGAGGTCGAGGGTTCAAATCCCGCCATTCGACTATTGTCGTGAACTATATCCTAGCATAATCCTAGAGCTTAGTTGGGATGGTTAAAGGAAATATTAAAACTCTTTCCCACATTAGGGTTTTATCCAAAATATTTACCCCCTAAGTTTAATGGCGTGAAAATATATAGCTTAAAGCGTGACGTAGGTGTAAGGCTTTTTATTAGAAAAAGAGTTATTCAAAACTATGCTGTAATTGCTGACATCTTAGGCAACAAAGAAGTGTGTGTTTTCGCTTTATTATAATAGTATATATAAATGCCTTAGTTTACATGGATGGAGGGATGTTTATTAGAATTTGTAGCTTAAACTGCTGAACGAATCTCGATGAAATTTGGCATAGATATAAACGAGGAATACATGACTTGTGTTTTTTTAAAATACCACACGAACGGAGTATTGTGAAAGCTACTAAAATAATAATTAAATAACAACCCATTACAGTTACATTGCGATATTGAAGACGATAAGCTGCGTAATTGAGGATTATTGGTGCTTCGCTATTGGGAGCACAAAACAGGCCATGGTTCTGCACGAGAATCGATCCAATTTGTTACTAACTATAAGCTGAAATAAATTACAGTAGAACTCGATTCAAACTTCGGTAACTTAAAAACCTCTATAACTTCAAAAAATAATATGTTTCCTTACATCAGAGCCCAAAATCTCTATAACATAGACCCTTGATAACTTAAAATCTTTTGTGTTTCCCTTGAACTTTAACTTATCGAGGTTCTACTGTACAAGATTCGAAAAGCGCCTATTAAATTCGATTCATTAAGACAATTTGGAGATTACTGTAGGTTACCCATAAAGAAATTTGTATAAACCAAAATCTCTCCTTCAGTATGAAAAATCACGAGATATTTATAAGTTTGTAAGTGTTTAGCAGTGGAATTTCACCGTTAGATTACGACAAGGATAACATTATCAGTCGTAATATTTCAAAATTTCCGTATGAACGAGTTTATCATTATCCTAAACCGCATAGCGTATAACATTGTCACAGAGCTATTAATTTAATGTTGATAATCCGACCGATATGAGGTCAAAGAACCTCAGTCGTCCTTACAACCGCCAAGTCGACCATGTCACTGACCGCGACACTTTAGAGAGTACGCTGTTAAGACCACCATCCTATATATTTACTACAATTTCAACGTTACTGCTTCAACAATAGAGGTTATATTACAATGAACTTGTTATCCCGGTCATACGGAACATTAAATCCGACCCGACCTCAAACTGTGCCCTTTTCAGCGAAAGGAAATAAATGACCGCACCTCCGAGGTTTGTGTATCTAAGATTTATTATCTTAACGACGCTAAATAGACCACAGAATTCATTGGTAAACTAAAAAGTAAAAAAAGCACCATTTATTAATTAAAAACAGAATTTACAAAACATATTAATTAAATACAAAAGAAAGAAAATACAAATCAGTTCTTTGCTAAATAGAGAAGGCTCAGCTAATGCGGCTACTATGTCACTGTAGGCCGCACTGGTATTCAACCTCTCCCTTAACTATTACATCGTTCAGTTTATTTACAAGAGGCAGTCGACATAAAGTATTTAGTTGTAATGTAGACAAATTTAATTTTATTGATCTTGCTAATTGTTAACTGACCAAATACAAAGACAGGTGCCGTGGAATAGCTATACTAATATGATAATGAGAAAAGATTTGTATTTTTGTATAAATCGAGATAACTCACAAACTACTGGGCCGACTTTAAAAATACTTGCACCAGTTAAAAGATAATTTATCTGTGAAGAACATAGGCTGCATTTATTATTATTTTTTAATTAGTCGTTAGCAACAGCTAGTCATAACATAAGAGAGTTAAAGCTCCATTTGAAACTAATATTTTGAATTAAAGGTCGTCTATATCCCATTAAGTCAAGAAAATCTAAACCGATTTTTATAAGAAATAATATTCCAAGTTATATCGTAA